ATATATATATATATATATATATATATATTATATATATAACAATATATAACAGACTACAGAAAGTAACAAAATCAATCCATGGTACAAAACTATGTATACAATGTAATTGTGAAGAGAAATGGGGCCCAGCATACATGTACATGTACTTGAAAGTCTTCTGTAGTACATCACTTTTCTGTAATAATAATTATTAAGTTTTTACTGTTGTAGACTTGAAGACTAATGCTAATAGGCTTTGAGTTTCAATATCAGCATGCTAGCACTAAATGATTATTCTCTTGTTGGAAATTTGTTGATTTGTTTTCATGCTTCTTCTCTTGTTTTTTGATTGGGATTCCATGTCTCTACTGATTAGAGGATGACAAACCAGCCTCATATTTGTACGGTTTCTCTGCTGACTGAGCCAGTCAACATGTTAAAGAGATCACCAGACTGCCCAGCTGACAGATCTGCCCGCTGCACTCCTAGGATCCTCACACCTGTAGGGATTGTGCTGCATGACTCTTCATGTGAGACTTCAAACCATCAAGCCTACTGAATTGCCTGCTGCACTCCTCACATTTGTAGGGTTTCTCCCCAGTGTGAGTCTGCATGTGTCTCTTGAGATGGCCCAGCTGTCTGAACTGCCTGCTGCACTCCTCACACCTGTAGGACTTCTCCCCGGTGTGGATTTTCATGTGGGTCTTCAGAGCACCCAGCTGAGTGAACTGCCTGCTGCACTCCTCACATTTGTGGGGTTTCTCCCCAGTGTGAGTCCGCATGTGTTTCTTTAGGGTAGCCATCTCCCGGAACTGCCTGCTGCACTCCTCACATTTAAATTGTTTCTCTCCCGTGTGAGTCCGCATGTGGGTCTTCAGACTACTCAGACTACTGAACTGCCTGCTGCACTCCTCACATTTGTAAGGCTTCTCTCCAGTGTGAGTCCGCATGTGGGACTTCAGACCTGTCAGTTGTCTGAACTGCTTGCTGCACTCCTCACATTTGTGGGGCTTCTCCCCGGTGTGAGTCTGTATGTGCTTCTTCAGACTGTTTAGCCTACTGAATTGCCTGCTGCACTCCTCACACTTGTAGGGTTTCTCCCCGGTGTGAATTCGCATGTGGTTCTTCAGACTACAGAGTACGCTGAACTGTCTGCTGCACTCCTCACATTTGTAGGGTTTCTCCCCTGTGTGAGTCTGCATGTGGGTCTTCAGACTACCCAGCTGACTGAACTGCATGCTGCACTCCTCACACTTGTAGGGTTTCTCCCCAGTGTGAGTCCGCATGTGGGTCTTCAGATGACCCAGGATACTAAACTGCCTGCTGCACTCCTCACACCTGTAGGGTTTCTCCCCAGTGTGAGTTCGGATGTGGTCCTTCAGATGACCCAACTGACTGAACTGCCTGCTGCACTGCTCACACTTGTAGGGTTTCTCCCCTGTGTGAGTTCGCATATGTTTCTTCAGATTACTCAGGATACTAAACTGTTTGCCGCATTCTTCGCACCTGTAGGGTTTCTCCCCAGTGTGAGTTTGGATGTGGTCCTTCAGACTACCCAGCTGACTGAACTGCCTGCTGCACTCCTCACACTTGTAGGGTTTCTCCCCTGTGTGAGTCCGCATGTGGGTCTTCAGATGACCCATCTGACTAAACTGCTTGCTGCACTCCTCACACTTGTAGGGTTTCTCACCTGTGTGACTGTGAGTCTGCACATGTTTCTTCAGATGACCCATGCTGACTGAACTGCCTGTCGCACTCCTCACACTTTGGAAGTCTGTGTCTGCTGACACTGGCTGGTTGCCTGCTTGTTGATGCCATGGCAATAACAGCTCAAACCACCTCTGTCTGTGCTGATTAAACAAATTCAACAAAACAGCAACATTGTTAACATGGAAAGAAATGGACAGTGGGACATGGGAGATTAACCCCGTCAATGAGAGCAAGGACATTCTATGATGAGAGATTGTGTAAACACAGGCTCCATGGACACCCCTCTCCCACCCCAAACTTTGGTACTTAGGAACAGCCTCTTTTCCAAAGATCAGCCTTGTCCGTTGGTTGTATGTAGTCTCCACCAGACTCCTTTGTAGACTGAATGACCTCGTCCCTGTCTCTAGAGCTAACGCCACTGGACGCTCTCTTAGGAACAAGAACACTATATCCATCCCCCCAGCCAGAACAAAAAGACTCCAGAACTCGTTCCTACATCAGTCTATCAGACTATACAACCAGACTGTGTAAACGTGTCTTATCTGGGATGCCCTGTTGATTTAATGTATAGATTTTAATAGTATGTATATATGTGTAATATATGTTATGTACCTTATGAGTTATCTTGCTGTTATTGCTGTTAATACCAATGCCATTCAGGCAACACATATTTTTGTATGTCTGCTACGTTGGTATGAAATAAAGAATTGAGAATTGAATAAACAGCATAAATCGGCCTAGTAAAAGTAATGTAGCTTGCCAAGGGGAGTTAGCCGGCGATAGATGAAAGAATGGTTGAATAATTTTGCCTGCACGGAAAATTCGTTTCAAGGCCGATTTCTACTATTTCAGCCTGCATGCAAAGGAGTTTCTGACAGTACACTTTGCCAGAGAAACCTGGCTCGGCGAATGGACACCGTAAAGTAAACGTTACGACGTTTCACCCACAACCTTGCATCTGCTTGGCGAGCAAATTTGGCCGTGATGAAAACCAGATGTGAGAAAACCAGAAGTGAGACACTTCAAAATTTCCAGAAACGCGACCTACGCATCCAGATCATACCTGGGACTGTCTTGTACCAGAAATTACTAGACTGTATGGGTATGAGCAGCAACTTGAGGACTTAAAATCAAGTTGTCCGAACTCTCTGTCGGTGAGAGTCGGCAGTTACAACAGCCATTCATCCATGCAGGGTGGTCTACCCGGGTGTTAGCCGTGGCGACTATTGATTCGGGCTTACATTGCATTACCCTCAGCAATAGTCGTGGAAAGATCCATTGGCAGAACTGCACATTTCCCGTTGGCTGCTCGATGCTCCGTTTTTGACCCGGTTTTTTGCTGTCCCGAGCTTCCCTACAATATAACTCCACAATTGGCCGGGTTGCCGATGTTTAGATCAGCCTAAATATTCCACAGCGCGACAGAAAAGTAGTAAAATAGCTAGTCGGCACAAGCTGGCGCCATCTTGGATATAGTCGGGAATGTCCGCTACCGCCGTCGGGAACGCTCGGTAGGCTTTCCGGTTATAATCGGAGAGCTTTCGGTCGGGCTTCGGTAATCGTGACGCTACCGAGCGTTCCCGACGGCGGTAGCGGACATTCCCGACTATATCCAAGATGGCGCCAGCTTGTGCCGACTAGCTATTTTACTACTTTTCTGTCGCGCTGTGGAATATTTAGGCTGATCTAAACATCGGCAACCCGGCCAATTGTGGAGTTATATTGTAGGGAAGCTCGGGACAGCAAAAAACCGGGTCAAAAACGGAGCATCGAGCAGCCAACGGGAAATGTGCAGTTCTGCCAATGGATCTTTCCACGACTATTGCTGAGGGTAATGCAATGTAAGCCCGAATCAATAGTCGCCACGGCTACCCGGGTGTATAAGTTGTTACAAGGCCTTACAACAGACGTCCTAAACAACCACGATTTTACTTTCTGGTGATTCAACATAAACACAGAGTCATCATCACCCCTTACCTCACAGTAATCAGCAATAAAACTAAAGAATAGTTGTGCAGAAACTGCTGTTTTGGAGATCGCGCTCGCACGGCCTCAGCTCACTGGACAGTAACCGCGGGCGGGCGTGACACGCGGGCGGAAGTACGCGTTGCTAATGACCCGGAAGTACTCTCCCCATAGATCAAATATCACCACCTGATTACCCAAGAAAAGTCTGAAAATGACCTTCTAGTGACTACTCAAGGCAGAGATGGTGATAACATACTGACCACGTTACGATCTTTAAACACTCTCTATAGCTAGCTCCGTATGAGCGGACCTAACAAATAAACCTAGTCTAGCTATACTATACCCTATTGTATAAGAATCGAACAACGAAAACCATTGGGGTGACCACTCGGGTGGCCTTTTGTCTTTGCTTCCACCGAAAGAATGATTTGCTTGGAGGTTATATACTTCCCCAACTGCGCTGGCAAATGAACCCTAATGTGGCCAAACCCACCCTGGTCAATTAATTACTCTCTATCATTCTACTGTTTTTGAACTCGCGGCGTTGTTAGTCTAGGTTGAGCGGACTATAATGATTACGCACATCAACAACGTCTATAATATATCATCTTTACTGTCAACCAATTGGTCTGATAAAACAATTTGAATATCAGTTTCACATACATGTATATGTGTATAACAGCCCTGTCTTCACCAGTATGATAATATGCGCAAGCTGGCTAGCGGAAATTCACGGTATACTTGCAGTTACATTGCGATGCAACTTTGTCAAAAGAATAAAGCATGGAGCTGCTCCATAAGTTCAAGCCTCGAACAGCGGGACAGTTTGCGTCAGCTGGTAACCTCGAACTTGGCTGATGAGGGTTCAACCAGTTACCTAGCCTCTCAACGAGGCTTCAGAAGCAACCGTTGAAAGAGTAGAAATTGGCCAAATAGACAAAACTGAACAGGGGAGTTGGTCCGCTAAAGGAGTGCACTTGTCGCTAATGTCTGTTTGGTCAATTTCTACTCTTTCCGACCGCTTCTGAAGCCTTGTAGAGGCTAACTATATTTAATTGTTTTTGAACCCGCGTTGTTATCTCTATATAGTCTGGTTCAACCCATGTAGGACATCCCCGGTCTCCCCTTAGCGCCAAGCCCGGTGACTTGGAAGACACACCCGGACAGGGGCTGCTGAAGGGTCTGCTCCGCCGACATGTTGACCCGCGCACTGGTGACGTACAGGACGTCCAGGTTCGGCCCGCCGAAGCAGCAGGACGTGACCCGGTCTGTGGGGAACTTCACAGCGCGGAGCTGGGTACCTGGAAGGTGTATGGCATAGTTGTCAAATCATTAGTCATACATAGAGAATATACTAACGTTACATAGTGTATTCCGTATCACCAGAGGCCAATCCGACGCACTGCGAGTCAGGAGGGCTGGGACCAAGGACGTCCTTGCTGGGGCCGATCTAGAATTATATCAAGCCTATTTATGTCATTTCAGCGCTAGAAAATACAGGTTTGAATGCGAAAATGTGTACGAAATTGAGGAAATTTGTAACAACATCAATTCCAACGTCCGCATCCGGGATTCTAATTTTCGAAACTTTGAAAGCGCAAAATTGTTGTGGCCCCGTGTGATGCGGGTAGTCAATTAAAAACACAAACTTGTGTTATGTTGGAAGAGTAGTTGCAGTATAGCTAGTGCCAAATATCACTTTCGTAATACTACTTTCGTATTAGTCTATATATGTCCATCTTGTTTGGTTTACCCACCTGTGTTAGGATCCACCTGTACCACCTGTCCACCGTGAAGCAGGGCTATCCACAGGTGGCCGTCGGAGTCAATCGTCATCCCATCGGGGACGGAGGTAGCCGGGTCGAACGTAAAAACTTTACGACGATTTGCTAGAAATGTCAATATTGAAAGAAAGTGGATGTATAAACATGTACAGCAAAATTCGACTTTGTGGCGCTATGTAGCCAAGCGCATAACTACATCAAAGGCCTCAGACATGTTATCTAAATGTTTAATTGTATAAGTTGTGCTGATGTTTTGCTGATATATTAATAATTACATGTACTGCTAAATATGAATCCACTGTAGGTACAGGGAGATACATCATACAGCTTACTCGGTGTTCCTGTGGACAAGTCAAAGTCGAAGGCATCCACGCTGAACTGGAGCGAGTCGATGTAGTACATGACGGTGTTATCTGGGGACCACGCCAGGCCGTTAGAGATACTCACTCCGCCAAGTGCCTGTGTGCAGGAAAAGAAGGCGGTACGTGAACTAGCCTCTACCAGGCTTCAGGGGCGGCTGGAAAGAGCAAAAATTGTCGAAATAGACAGATAACATGCCAGCGGAGTTGGCCCGCTACAGGTTTGCCTCTCCCAAACTGTACTCCTTTAGCGGACCAACTCCCCCGGCATGTTATTATCTATTTGGCCACTTGTTACTCTCTCCAGCCGCTTATGCCTCTGAAGCTTCTGTGAATGTAATGCTATAGTAGTACATGTTCCTGGTATAAATCATATTTCACGCCCGTTATTGATATTATGAAACCCAACTTTGCCAACCGATATTGTAGTTTGGGAGATAAAAGACGATCATATATGCATATATAAACAACTTTTAAAACTTGTCCGTACCTTTGTGACAGTTCGGTCGGCGTTCAGACAGAACAGGGACCCTGCGCCAAACTCGAACTTTCCGAAGACGGAGTCTTTCCCCATCGTGCCTGGAGGTTAAAACGTGTGTTCAACAGACGAAACACCACCGTAAAATCTACCTCTGTTGACGCATCTGAATGAGTATTGTAACCATTCTTACTGTATACTAGTACATGTTGTATCGTATTTTGTCAAGTTACTAAACCTAGCCCTTTAGTATACTAGAAGTCTACGGCTTACGCTTGCCGGGCAAAATTAAATTAAATCAAATCAAATCGAACAGTCAAAATGGTACAATGTTGCCCAGATCCAAGACACATGGATATTACAGGCGAAGTTGGATATTGATTTATTTGGGATTAATGCCGTTCACTCTGTCACGCCGCCCCACGTTAAGTACACTTAAGTGACGCCCTAATTTACCCCGCGCCGCACTACAATGCACGAGTCAACATCAAATATATGATTCGCAAACACCCCTGAACAAACATACACACGGATACAGTCTGTCAGGAGAAATATCGACCAATTACTGGCCATTACTCTGTGTTAAAGTCGTATTCTTCATACTTGATACGTTTTCAATCAGATGAAAGATAGAGATAGATACTAGTAGATAGATAGATAGATAGATAGATAGATAGATAGACAAATAGATAGATAGATACATACATACATACATACATACATGTACATGCTGTATTAGATACATAGATAGATATCCTTTGGTAGATTGATATGAAGTCAGACCGATAGATACACAGACAGACAGACAGATAGATACGCAGATAAATAGATGGATAAATCACTGATTGATTGATTGATTGATTGATTGATTGGTTGGTTGATTGATTGATTGATTGATTGATTGATTGATTGATTGATTCATTCATTCATTGATAGATAGATAGAGGTATAAGGAGTTTATCTATACCTGCCCAGAGTCTGCCGGCTGCATCACACTTGCCGTCGTTGAAGATGTTGGTAGGTTTGTCGCGGTTGACCTCCGCCAGTGTCGTCAGCTGCCCGGTCTGGAGGTCCAGGGCGGCAAACCTGGTCCCGGCGGCCACCACGGCTCCTCCTGACGCCCGGGGAACCACGCAGCCGGGGCTACAGTCTGGTGGTGAGTATAGAATAGAATAGAATAGAATAGAATAGGATAGAATAGAATAGAATATAGAATCAAATAGAAGAGGATAGAATAAGATAGAATTCGAATAGAATCGAATAGGAGAGGATAGATTTAGAACAGAATAGAATAGAACACAACAGAATAGAATGGAATAGGATATAATAGAATAGAATAGAACAGAACAGAACAGAACAGAATAGAATAGAATAGAATAGAACAGAACAGAACAGAATAGAATTATTGGTTTATTTACTTCGCTGTCACACTGCCAGACTCAACATTCTGTAGCAGCCTTTAAATTTGTTGTTAAATTTAAAAGCAATGAAAATACATACGTAATCTAAAGATTACAATCCTTACAATACTCACTTGTATGCGTACTCTCGTTAATCTAACACTTTGTCGCTAAATCACGAATGAAACTAAGCGTGGTGCTAATCAATATTCTTTTCTTTATTCGGACCGTTTACACTTAAATCGTTTCACACCAAGCATAGCACCTGCACACAGGTAACGCCACCATCGCATACCATAAGGAGCAATTCGTTTCGCAGTGCCTGACAGCTCGCGTGTGTGACTACGTCCTCTAGCTATATATATAGACTGCAAAGTCAAAAACTAACGGTTAACTTTTGCTATGTATTCGAAAAGCATCACTTCTGCATTAAAATGCGACATTTTTTACTTTAATTAGTACAGGTCGAACGTGAGGATATTAATTAGAATTAGTTATCCGTGCAATTATCACTCTAAGTTGAGGTTTTGGCTTCGACTTATTTTTGGCGTGTTTCAGGCGTTTTATTTCTCTTTCTTGTACTGGTATATCTTTTTTCGCAAGCCAAACCTGGCATGTAATGGTAACTGCCTTGCAAAAATGGTAACTGCCAATTTGAAATTGTCTTTATAGTCACCAAAAGATCTGCTTGGAGATTATCGTTCGAGACTCTTACCTATTTTCAGTTTGCCCTTTCGCCCAGTGACCGGGTCCCATCGGCATACACACTGGTCCAGGAGGTCGACGTACATCAGTGTGTTGGTGCGGTGGTCCCAGTGTGGTCCCTCCGTATGCTCACCCGGCTCCGCAATAGCTACGGTAACAGACATCCTCAAACCTGGACGGCAGCTTTTCCTTCACCTTCTGAGCTTCGAAAATGGATTTGTTCTAAAAACCGAGTTACAGACAAGTCTCATATCCGGAGGTGAAAGTCCATGCGTCACTGCGCTGAAAGTTAACGACAACCCCTGGCCCAATTGCTTCTCGCTGTCATGGGATCTTTTCTCTTTTTGTAACAGGGCATGATTGAGTTGTCAATTATCGATCGTCAAGCTAAGGTCGCAAAGTCTCATGGAGGTAACTGTTGTCGGGCAAAGGTTTAGGGTAAGGTTTTTAAGACGCGATTCAAGCATTTTGTCGGGCTTTCTTTTTCGCACTGGTATCTTTTGTTGCCCCAGGCACATGGCCTGCCAATTTGATACTGTCTTACCAATTTGATACTGTCTTACCAATTTGATACTGTCTTACCAATTTGATACTGTCTTACCAATTTGATACTGTCTTACCAATTTGATACTGTCTTACCAATTTGATACTGTCTTACCAATTTGATACTGTCTTGCAGATACCGATCTATACTATACTTGCCTATATCAGGAATAACCAACGTGCGGTTAACTTGCGGTGCCTTTATGCAGTAATTAAGCTGATAGCTGTAAATAAGAAAGACATATTTTTGCTAACACACAAACGTTACAATCTGGTTAATCGTTGATTTACATCCTTCCTTGTGACATTTTCTGGTCCCACCCTTGCGCTTGTCAACAGCGGCATTGTATGGGCACGCTTCGGCCGCCCAGGTGGCCAAACAATGGGCTTGGGTATTTGACCGAGAGAATTACTCTCCAAGCAGAGGTTTGGGTTTTGGGGGTATTTTTAGCATGTTTTTAGGCTTTTTTATCGGGGTTTCTCTTTTGCACTGAATTTTTTTGGTGGGGAAAAAAAATTCAGTGCAAAAGAGAAACCCCGATAAAAAAGCCTAAAAACACGCTAAAAATACCCCCAAAACCCAAACCTCTGCTTGGAGAGTACGAGAGAATATGGTCATTGAACCTATACGGCAGCCTGAGATCATATTCTTGGTTTTCTTTCGCACGAGTAGAGTACTTGAAAATAAATGGAAATGGACGTTTGTCGACGTTTCTTTTGGTCTACAATGTATTTGGTCTATTTTCTCTTTGACGACACAATAGAAAAATCGTGACGGTCAACAGAGTGATATCGATTTTCTATGATAATTCTAGTTATGTTTACCGAAGGAAAACATCTCTCCCTCTTCTTCTCCAAACAAATAAGGTCAATGACCTGAACCAGACGTTTCTCACCATGGTAACTAGTGTAGGATTATATCATGTTGCAATTCTATAGCAGGAGGGATTTAGACTGCTGTCACCATGACCATATACATGAATGTGTTTGAGTAAGAATTACTAGTAACAGAGCAAACCATATGCGAAGGTAAACATATGCATTTGCTTTACAAATGTTACCACCTTTCTAGTTATCAATTGTGATAATCCAGTTAACAGTTGTAAGAACTTTGTAGTCAGTTCTCCGAAGAACCGTGCTCTTTCGATCTCAACCCTTGTAGCACAACCCCGGCGTGCCTTTGGCGCCCAGTCCTGTCACCTGGAACACGCAGCCAGACAGAGGCTTCTGCCGGAGCTCCTCAGCTGTCAGACCGACACTCGCGGCTGTGACGTACAGGGTGTCGAGGTTTGGACCACCGAAACAACAGGACGTGGTTTGGTCAGCGGGGATCTTAACGGAACGAAGATGTGTGCCTAAGAAAAAAAAGACAGAGGTTAACCTCACGGCATTGCTAAGATGTTGGACGAGTGAATGGCAATGCTATAACTCTATTTTGTACAAAATATTTCTATGTAATTTTGCATTCAAACGTGGAATTTTGACAAAGTTGCATTGCGATGTAAACTGCAACGGATGAAATACATTGTAGCAAGGAGCTAAACGCTAAAAGCAAAACTAAAAGCACGTTGAATTTTGAGGAGCAAGCAACAACAAGAGCGACAGAAAGTAAGAAAGATAAAGAAAGAAAGAAAGAAAGAAAGAAAGAAAGAAAGAAAGCAGTTGTTAGTTTGCATTGATGATTTGTTATAATTAGCATCGTGATAATGTAATTTTCTAACCTGTCTCTGGGTCCACTTGCAGTACCTGGCCTGTGCCAAACATGGCTACCCACAGTTTCCCATCAGTGTCGATACACATGCCGTCAGGCACACCGTCTGTGCTCTCGTCAAAACTCACCACCTTACGACGGTTTGCTGCAAAGACAGGGTGAATGAGAACATCGAGTCGTAGCCTCCTGCGCAGACTTTTGAAGCAGCGGCATAACTCCATCTCACCAAGAAGCTTTTAGATTTAACCTGGCTCTCACGCAATTGAGAACTTTATAGCCTGTTTAAAAAAAATCGCGTATCAGCCCCCGTCCCCCCAAAAAAAGATCGACGACGACGCTCCAAGAAAAGGATGCAGTCGTATGAACAAAAGAACATGGAAAAAAAATTCCCGACGTTTTACAGTTATACAATACACACAATTGAATCTCAATGAGGTATCGAATGTACATACCCAGGTTTCCGGTGGGCAAGTCAAAGTCGAAGGCATCCACACTGTAGCGGAGTGAGTCTATGTAGTACATGGTGGAGTTGTCAGATGTCCAGGCCAGACCGTTAGAGATGTCGGCTTCATTAAATGCCTCAAAAATGGCAAAGGATGTTTTAAAGCAATTTTAGAGATGTTTTAAAGCAATTTTAGAATATATTGTCAGAAAATGCGACAACATGAAGTAACACGGAAAATTTAACAAGGCTATTGTCTCAGACTGTGACTCACTCACTCACTCACACTCACTCTCACTCACTCACTCACTCACTCACTCACTCACTCACTCACTCACTCACTCACTCACTCACTCACTCACTCACTCACTCACTCACTCACTCACTCACTCACTCATTCATTCTTTCGAATTCACTCACTCATTCTCCTGCACATAGTTTGTAGAGATGACTAAGTGTTTCAAAGTGTCTATTTATTTGACAGGAGACGCAAATTGTTGTAATAGCTTATTTCCACCGCCACTGTGCTCACAACTGGATATGCTTTATCAGAGGAGAGAGAAGACCTCAAGCATAGGGTCAGCCTTACCTTTGTAACTGTTTGATCGGAGTGAAGGCAGTATAAGGACCCGGCGTTGCGTTCGACTTGAGTAGGAACAGGTTCGGGACCCATCGTGCCTGAAAACAGTGTCATCCTCATATCACTTTTGTTCGACGATTGGTCGACGAGGCTTGGTCTGATCATATAAGGAATATCGAATCATGTGAATATGTATTGCTACATTTTCAACCTTTTACCGTCCTCTTACCAGCCCAAAACCTGCCGGCAGCATCACACTTCCCATCGTTGAACCGGTTCAAAGGCCTGTCCTGGTCCACCGTTGCAACAGTGGTCAGCTGTCTGGTCTCGAAGTCTAGGAAGGAAAAGTCGGTCCCAGCAGCGACCACTACTCCACCCGATTCCCTTGGGACCACAGCACCTACCATACAGTCTGGAACAATAACATTGCATGGATTGTAGATTTGATCAGCGAGAATTATAATAGAAATCAGCTATGAGACCACCATTATTCCATCCACTATGCGTGTGTCTAGGTCCAATCTCCCTACACGACTCCAACGAGTCTGTGTATTTGTTAAGTCTCATGTTCGGGAGTATTAGGTGTTATACGGAAATGACCATGATCTATGATTAAGAGCAATCTTTGAAAGTCTTCGCGCTTGAGGCGTTGCCAAAATCTAGTTCCGACCTTTAACCTGTTTAATAACAGTTGGTCTAAATGTATGACTGTAGGAAATGTGGTTACACGTTTCGTGATGTCACTCATGTCATCTGTGTCATCGAAAATGCATAACTGTAATAAATATATTGTATATATATTACACGTTTTGTGATCTCACCCATGTCAACTGTGTCTTTCTGTCCGGTGACCGGGTTCCAGCGATGGACCTTTTTTCCGTCGATGTCAACATACAGCAGAGATCCCGTACGGTGGTCCCAGTGAGGACCCTCTGGACACAGCCCAGGCTTGTCTATAACCACTGACACTTCCATACAGTGTGCTATGTAGAGTGTGCCAGTGTTGGAAGACTGATCATAAAGTATTTGCTGCAGTTACCTGTAGGTCTGACCTTTGTGTAATGTGTACTCTGTAATTGCCCTCACAAAACTTGACCAGTCCAGGGAAAGTGCAAAGTCCATAACAAGACCAGTGTAGAGTCAGGAATTCACGTACAGGCTGCTGTTAATGCACAATACTCCTGAAACATCGCCGGCGCCCCACGTGAGTGGGTGACGTTTTTGTATCTGACTTGAATTAGACCAAGTCCAATTTTAGATCATGTGTCAGAATTGGCGTCCGTTTGTAGACTAAGAGACATGAAGTTTTTGCTCAAAAGCTATTGCCAACTGTGTTCTAATTATGTAAAATTGGCCGCATATAGTACTATTCTTTATCTTCATGAATTGATCCGCCAATTCGTTCTACTTTGCCCAAACAACACCTTCAGTACAAGTAGCTATTCCTGCACAGATGTATAAACCAGAGAGAAACGCTTCAAGGTAAGATATTTTTATTGCAGCAATGGAAGTCATTCAAAAGACGATTAACAAGCAATACTGGCAAGTTTGTTGTGGAAGCAACAAGTGGGGCCTAGATGCCTTCCACATGCACACTTTATGTTCATTTTTCTTAAACAGCTTATATTATGATACCATGTATGTTTGTTGTGTATCAAGCAATGTTGATATCTATTTCAATACATCTGCCTATATAATTTGGTAGAACATTTTTTACAATACAAAGTTAAACATTCTTATAATTAACTGTTTCAATACGGTACAAAAACCACCTGCCATGTATCAGTATTTCTGCACAGAAGTCTGCATGAATCAAATTAAAGTATCTTGAGTTACAAACACTGAAGGGATATGGCTTCACTTGTCTGATTGCTTTTGGCAAGAAATTCAACAACACTTTGTGGACATTCTTATATAGAGACATAGCAACAATTGTGATCATTTTTAATCCTTTCTTGAAGAGATCTACCTGCTACCACCAAGCCTCTACCTCTACTTTCAATTTGACAGAGAACATACCAAGGGAGTTGGTCTGCTATAAAAGGGAGTGTCCTACTGTACTCCTTTAGCAGACTAACTCCCCATGCATGTTATCTGTTTATTTGGCTGATTTCTACTCTTTCCAGCCACTTACAAAGCCTAGTAGAGCTCAGGCCTGAGCTGCCACAATGGGTTCAACCATTGTAGCACAGCCCGGGGGTGCCCCTGGCTCCCAGCCCGGTCACTTGGAACAGGCAGCCTGACAGGGGATACTTTTGGATGTCCTCGGCAGAGTAGCCCGTCCTTGCACTTGTCACATACATGACGTCAAGGTTAGGGCCTCCGAAACAGCAGGAGGTGGTGCGGGGTGCTGGGAACTTGACGGAACGAAGCTGCGTACCTACAGTGAGATAAGAACAGATGGCTTTTCAAAAGAAACTTAAAGGCTCAAAACCACTTACACAGAGATTGTGCTACATTGCCTCTGTATCTATATAGCCAGTACAGCCTTTGGTATGGCACACCAGCTTTGCAGGCATGTGGCATGCAGGAAGCTGGTTATATCACATCGAACGGCCTGTTACACCAAACTGTTATATCTTACCTCCAGTTATCTTTATTTTGAGTAATGTAACAGTGCGTCTTTTCTCTAGTACAGCCTAAAAATTAGATAACCGTCTGTTCATGAATTCATGCATCTATATATTTCTCTTGTTAACGTACCTGTGTTTGGATCCACCTGTATCACCTGTCCTGTATTAAACATGGCTACCCACAGCTTTCCCTCAGTGTCGATGCACATGCCATCAGGTATGCCGTCTACTTCTTCTTTAAAGGTTACCACTGGACGACGGTTGCCTGCAATGATGGACAAATAAACATGATAAGAAATGGGCAGTTCATTGCTGATATGCTCACTGGGTCTAGTGCATCTACTTAATAATAAAGATCAGGGAGAAGAACTCACATCCTTAGAAATTCCCAGGCAATACGTAAATTTTTTAACAGACATAAAGTTCTTATATAATGGAGTCTTTGTGGGTAGTAGAGGGTACGTACTCGGTGTTCCAGTGGTCATGTCAAAGTCAAAGGCATCCACGCTGAAGCGGAGTGAGTCTATGTAGTACATGGTGGAGTTGTCTGATGTCCAGGCCAGACCGTTAGAGATGTCAACTTCATTAAATGCCTAATGCAAGCAAAGAACAGCATACATGATGTCGTAAAGCTGACTTGCTCAGTGTTTTGCTGTGAATAATGTAATGGTAGTTCCATGTCCTTTCTTCGCAAGAAAAGTGTTCAAATGTTTTAGTGCCAACCATGTAAAAGAGAACAAATGAATCGGCCTTACCTTTGTGACATTGCCATCTGTCTGAAGGCAGTACAGGGATCCAACTTTACGTTCAGGTTTTGCTGGGACAGGCTCATGACCCATGGTGCCTGAAAATTAACAGTCATTGTAGCATCACTTACAATCAATGATGGACAAATAAACATGGAGAAATATTGAGCATATCACACCATTCTTTTGATATATATCAATACTGTGTATTGGACTCATTCTTATGTATGTTTTAAATCAGATAATGAAATTATTGTGGGAGGAGTACACAAATTGAAATGGCGCAAGCAATCAATTTCAAAGCTGCTTCTTGGGACTTTTTAATAACCTACACATTATGAAAAACATCATTGTTGCTTTCCTTACCAGCCCAAAACCTGCCGGCAGCATCACACTTCCCATCGTTGAACCGATTCAAAGGCCTGTCCTGGTCCACGGTTGCAACAGTGGTCAGCTGTCTGGTCTCGAAGTCTAGGAAGGCAAACTTGGTCCCAGCGGCCACTACAGCCCCTCCTGATTCCCTTGGGACCACAGCACCTACCATGCAATCTGCAACAAAATGGAGAAAATCTTATTAGTGTCGCTCCTGAGGTGTCGCCAAAATCTTTTTCACCCAGTGCATTTGCCTAGCGTAACGAAATCGCACCCCTGGCGGCCTGTCTGAATGCCGCCTATGGGACCTCCAGCTGACAGCGTGAGATTGACTGTATTAACACAGGTTACATATTAGATCTAGGTCCTGTGAAAAATCAATTGTATTTAATGTATCTTATTCTAAACCTCGGAAAAAGCAACGTTAATTGTACTGAATACAAACTCATCACTACTGAGATATTCCTTCTCCAAGTTTGATTATCCACCCTGACCTCACCATTATTCTAGGATTATCCAGGGATTATCATTAGTGGATTAGTTAGCCGTGACCACCCCAGTCACGCCCCTACCGGCCACGCCCACCCTACACCCCCTCTCAAGTTGGGAAGTGGAGGGGGTGGGGTCGGGTTGGTGTACGCGTACGCTTGGTTGTTTCCGGAAAGATTTCGCGTGACAGAAATCCTCGTGTAAAAAATGTCTCACCTGTGTCGTACGTGTCCCTGTGTTTCGTGACGGGGTCCCAGCGGTGAACGTGTTTCTCGTGGATATCAACGTACAGCAGCGCCCCCGTGCGGCCGTCCCAGTGGGGACCCTCCAGAAGCGTCCCGGGCTCTTCTACAGCCATGACAGCCACCGACACGGACATGGCGCTGGGCTGTGGGGTAAGCAAGAAAAGGAGGTTAAGCAAGAAAAGGAGGTTAAAGAAGGGAAGGACTTTTGTTTTTGACCTACTTGGAATTAGTCAACTAGTCTTAAAAACCCGGCCCGAGAGAACCAAGGACATTGAGAGAACATTAACCAACCTGATCCAAGACGTGAAATCACCTAGAGGGCCCTAGAGTCCAGTAGAGACCACGTCTAGCGACTAGCGAGGTATTAAATAGACATTGAACAGGAACAACAACAACGGAGTCAGTATGTTAACGGCTTGAGAGACCGAAATAGGGAAGTGGGCGGTACCCCTGTTGACAACACCGTGACCTTTGTACAGTTTGCACACTGATTAGTCCCTGACATGATTCATTGTGTGAGCTCGAGCTACTCGTCCCCCGGATTCCGTGCCAAGGCTACTTGTTTGGGGATTTCTTCAAACCTGTGATTGAAATCAATCGATTGAAAGCGTTCTTTGTATTTATAAGAATGTGGCAAAGGAAAGCATGATCAATATTTGTTATGGAAATCTGATTAACAATAGTACTCATTCCCGAAGCATTCATCCATGATTCCCCTTGCAACTGCCGCAAATCTAACATCTCACCTGTAAAAAAGTAAAGACTGTCACCTTTTCCTGACTGAAAACAAGAGAAACACTTCGGGTCACTTTCAAGCTAACTAGATAAGGAAAGGACCAATGCTATGCAATAATTGCCTGCACTGTACTCACAGTGACTTCTGCAGAGTATCTTGCCAGGCAGAACGTACAACTGGAGAGTTCGGAAAGATCAGAGTTCAGTGTTTCAAAGGGTCCAATCAAATGACAGTCACGAGGCTGCAAAGGTCTACCGTACGCGGCGGTCAAAAATCATTCAGATAAAACGCATAAGCCACCAGCAGTCCTCCCAGCAGACTACTAGTATGTCACCAACGATCGACGATCACTTACCTTTAAAAGCAAGGAAAAGAAGTTCTTCTCAGGTGTAGTTTGCCAAGTGGTTGGTTTAAAGAAGTTTAGAGGCCTTGTGATTTTGGAGCGATAGGCAGGGCTCCCAACAAGTGAGGAAATGAGCAGGGAAAGGGTTGGAAACAGTTGTCAAATGTCCCGAACAGACGTTGGTAGCTTTCCTAGGCCTGGTTCGACAAGATTTTCGAGTCTATTGCCCTGGGAGTTTGGCATGTAACTAGTTACCCAATTTAGTAATTGCAAATCCTTTCACCAGCCGAAATTAAGTGAACGCAATCTTTGAATCGTCTTGTTGTACGCGTATGTTTTGCTTTAGCTCTTTCGGGATGGAAGACGATGCTATAGCGCTACAGGAAATTTTAACTGACCAAGGGCACCGTGCCAATACTTTTCGCAATGAAATATATTCACAGAGGAATACAAAATGTACATTTGGTTGGCATGGCTAAAGGGACACTGCCTTGAAGGACATTTCTGACAGAGGGCGCTGCTAAAGTCACATGCTTCTATCCAGCCAATCAACGTTAATCTTCTCCTCCCGCCATTTTGCCGCTTCACCAAAGACGCATACGCTAGAACAAAATAGTGACACATTGATATCACCATATCTTTCACAATCTTGGACTTACAAATACAAAAATATTTCCAAAGCTCAAAGTGACATGAAAAGAGTATACAAACTCAGTAAGTGTAAATGGTATCACCAACAGAGGCATCGAAATACAGGAGATATCCATCCACGAATATAGTGTGATGAGGCTGCACCGAAACGCAGTGTCCATCACCGTGATGGGGGAGGGCAGGTAAGACGTCCTGCAAGACATTCAACTACCTGCTCCAGTTTTATAACGTCTTGGGAGGCGAAGACACGGCCCAAGGTAGGTAGAAATGTTCTTAAGGGTTCTATTTTCAGGTTGATACCACAGCAGCGTCCCGCGTCGCCTTGCAATAATGCATAAACTGTTAGGAGGCGGTCTAGCCGAATTACAAAACTTCCAGCGCGCGCAGCTAGCAGCTCATAATTTTAGCAGGTGTCTTTTACCTTTTTTGACTGATAAAAACACGTGTTAATCGCTTAAGATTGGTCTTATAACATAATTCTTGGAAATGACATAATGCTCATGATTTAGTGAAGGAAGTGCGTGTGTTTGCAGTGATTGTTTGCCAAAAGAAACGGTCGCGTTTCGCATTTTTGCGGCAGACATTTTCGTCTGAGGGAAAACAAATCGTCCCACGATGTCATGAATAATTTATCTCCGCTGCACCAGTTGTGCGTTGCCTAGCAACAGAATTCCGCAAGATTTTGCAAATTCACAACACTAGGAAGTAAACCTGAGGAAAATTATATACGATGAGACTGGCATTTGTTAGCAGTTTTCCAACTAACCTGTGTAACAGTGGACCCTCGTTTGCTGGTCGTCTGTCACGGTGTAATAGTAATAGTGGTATGTGTTTGGGTGGGCGGAGTTTCTTTTACATGGGCTGACCTTCGGAAATTGTTATGCTAAAAATCAGACAATTTTGGCGGAGAAATGTTTTGTCTTCCAATCCTTTGCCACAGCTTTTGTGTAACTCCCAGGCCCAGTGTTATGTGTATTCAAATAACTTTCATCATGGGTTTTGGTACTACTACTAGTAACTGCTTATTCAACATTACATACTTGGCAAGACTATATATACAACATGGCAGGAATGCCTACAGCTTCAAGGTGTCAGGGGACTGTCAAACAGGGGATATTTTGACTGGGAAAGTTTTTAAGTGTTTTCAAAATTTTGCCAAGTGAATCATTGTGAATGTCTTATATCAAGAGGTGATTAAAAAAAAAAGAGTAATATTTGACCAGTTCCCATAGTTTTATAGATACTCCCGTTCAATATATAGATTCAGACATCATATTTTCACTGGCCCGTGTTTGGGTCACTTACCTTGTGTTTTGGATATTTTCCTTGTGTCCATGCTGAAATTTTTGCCATGGTTCTTCACACTTACAGACACAGTTAGAAAATGGCTGGAAAAAGCAGACAGCTGATCAGCCAGTCGTTTACAGAAGGGCCATCTCTCCCGGACAGACGGCCGGCGAGGCACAACCTCAGCGACAGCGACATGCTCAGTCTCAGCGCTGCCATGATGGACAGCAGACCAAACAACCTGGTACGGAACCTTCTCACCGTGTAATCTTAATTGTAGATGGTCAGTAGGTCCCGACAGGGGTAATGAGACCGGTCCTTGGTTGTGTCTGTACGGCAGTAACAGCTAGTTCCTTACCTATTACAAAATGTACCTAAGTTCCAAAGTATTGTAAATTGTGAAATGTTAATGACAATGACAATGGTGATTTTATTGTCAAAGTTTTCTCAGTTCCTCTTACTGCAAAATCGTAACCCTGCTATTATGTGGATTATGTGGCTAATCATGGATTTCAAACATAATGAAAACCTCAGTTCTCTTCCCCCATATGATGAATTAAAACCACTGCAAAAGTGAATGCAATTTACTGTATGAAGTTGTCAGACTTGAATCAATTTTACATGCATAGCAATATTTGGCATTGCCTTAGCACAGTTCTATCTCTGGCATTGCCTTAGCACAGTTCTATCTCAGTAGAATTGGGTTGAGTCAACAATTGATAATGTGTTCCTGTGTTCCTCCTATTGACAAAAAGTAATGGATGCTACTTGAAACATCTGACAATCTACTACCGTAGTATCTAGTTTCTTGAGTAACAGTAAGTTGTCCTCTTATCGGTTTGAAAATGTGACATTTCCAGCATTTTCTTTCTAGCCTTTCTCAACTGTCGATGCTTTCTCACAGTTTCCATGGGAGCTGTGCCCAGACAGTCTAAGGCTGTGAACCAGCCCAGTATGAACAATGACAGGCGGATGATGGGCAGGTACCCGAGCGGCCCTTCTCTAGTGGAGAGCCTGTACGGACAGGCTGGGATCAGGCCTGGTGTGAGCCCCCGGTCTGCATCCGCACCCTTAACTATGGTAGGTTACAATTATAATATATACAAGTACATCTGAGTCAATTATTTCAATCTTACACACCTCTCATGAAGTACCAACTAAATTACAAGGCAGGGATAGGGCTGGAAAATGTATTTTGTGGTTTTCTTATCATATACCAGTTGTGAGGACTGGTATGAAGCAAACAGCACTGGAAACATGCACCCATGCATTTTTATGAGAATATATGATTGTAATTTCCTTACCTTTTATTTTGAAATTATAGATTTTTTAGTTCTGCAGAAATATGTAGTAAGGCAATTTCTTTCCTTTGTAACCTGTAGGACAACCAACTGAACGTGGGAGTGCGAACTACAGTGGGCGCCAACAACACTCTAGCCAACAACGAACGGTCTGCCACGATGCAGGTGAAACCTTCGCACCAGGGCGCTCGTGTCAACCAACTCTCGCTGCCCACAGAGCCGCGTGTGAGCGCTACAGCATCAGCTGCCAGAAGAGAGGAAGCCTCGTCTGTGGAATCATTAGAGGTTAGTATATAGTCAATTCATAGTTTAATACTATCATGTATTCTCTGTTATATATTGCAAAGATGACATAGTGTATGTCCTAGATGTCCTCAGCCATGCAATATCAAGTAGTAACGTTTTATAAGCGTTTTTACAATCACCTGCCAACAGTACACATTATCTGTATCTGTACACAGTACCATTACGTTTTTTGATTTTAGAAACTGAATTCATGGCTCCCTTGGTTATAGATCTATATTTTATCAGTAAATGGCAGACTAGCCCTAAAGCTGTTATCCCATTTCCTGGTAACCTTGAATCAATGATCGACACACATGACCCTGCAGTACAGACGTTTATTTGATTTCCTTCTACTGGTTACCACTTAGCATGGGTACCCCCGAGACGTAATGGCTTCTAAGGCCAATATTGCTGTTCCAAATTGAATCACTCTCCCTTATCGGATTTCCTCCCGCAGCCTGATACCAGTCAGATCATTGGGCGGCTGATGCAGATACGGGTGAGTGTGTGGTGCTCTTATGTCTGGATCCTAGATATTTGCATAATTCTACCATTTCAGACAGTTTCTAGTGTATTTGAATCCCTAGATGTAAGCTGCATAGGTCTACCATCTCAAACAGTATAGTTTCTATTGTGTTTGTGGAAATTCGTAGCAGTATTTATTGATTAAATGTGTGGGTTTCTATATACTATAGTGTGGAAAGATACTTTTAGTTTTGAAACAAGAGAATATTTGCCTGTATAATGCTGTCTTAGTTGCTGTCACAATGTTATAAGACAATAATGGATGGTCCAGCTTGATAACTTGTTGTATAGTCCAGGTTTTTATCTCAGTCCAAATTTGAGGTGACAGGTTTTAATGGGTTGATGTTTGTTTATTATATACAGGACTACCTGAAGCAGGCTAAAGGCATGCTGAGCCAGATCGAGAACTCTGCTGGGACGGTAGGCAGTTTGTTTGTTTTACCAGTACCTCTAAGGAAACTGCTTAATAAGTCAACTATTACATGTAGTCTACTGGGAATCAATGACATGTTGTCTGGAATTTATACTGTTTTGTCCGATTCTTAGTAATAGTGATATGGTCATGATATTCGAAGTTATGAATGTCTGGATGTCAATGGATGTCAATGTTTTCCTGTGAGAAAGCTTGAGTAAGAAAAGTTGCGTGTGGAAGTAAAAATCCATATGAAAGGTAAACATGAATGAAACTATGAAATATGCAGCTTGTCTAATGTAGAAAAGTTGCAACAAAATTATCTGCATTTATCAATGTCTATTATTGAACTGTATGCAGATTTTTATTCGACTGCATCAAGTTAAAATCAATATGCGAATGTATGTCATTTTCAAAAATCCATGTGCGAATGTATGTCATTTTGTTTTTTAGAGCTCGAATCGTGACCAGAGAGACAAACTCCAGGAGCTGGTTGGACAGTTAGAGGAACAGGAGAAGGGCTATCTGGGTCTTCTGCAGAGAATACTGGTAAATTCCTCATTTTTTCACAGCACTTTTTGCTCACTGTTTTATTGTCATTACTGTTATCAAATAATTTGTCTTTTATCCCCCTCCCCTTTTGGTCATCATTAAGATTCAATCCTGTGAACATGTCCATTTTCCTCAGATTGTAAAATTTTGCTACCGTTGAGACAAAGTGAATTACAGTACTTGATTTATCCATTATGTACACTGTAAAGTGTAAAGGTTTTGAATTTTCACAAGGATAGACTAGTTGGCGCTTTCCCCAATGTAGGGGGTAGGTGACTACTGTACATGTATTTGAAAGTCATATGGTAGTCAACTTTGCAAGCACTGCCTTTTCTTTCCTGCTGTTGCCAAAGTATTAGAGCATTAAAAATTTGACCTCCACCCCACTTTCATATATAGACCACAATAATGGCTTTACTTGGCTCAAGTTACAGTTTATGTCACTCCCACTTAAAGCCTGCATTTGGAGGTGAGGGCTTGCAAATTTTGTTTGGCTGCATTCATGACAAATCACCCATTATGCTGCAATCTCTGTGTATTGATAAACCAATGAATAGATTAGTAGTTTGTGGCTCTGTTCACCAATAGTTGGTGGTGATTTTAATGTGCCAGCTACTGTTAGTAATACATGATTTTTTTCACAGTAGTTTTATGTTCACTGTCTTCACGGTCACTTCTGGAGCATAAACTTTACCATTACCATCATCAAATCATTTGTCTTTTATCCCCTCTCCCTGCACTTACCACCACCGTTCTGTGTTTTGTCCATCTTTCTCAGACCGTGAAATTTTTCTACCGTGTACAGTGACAAAGTGAAATACAGTTAGTGTAAATAGTATACGATTATTGCTGATGCACTACGTATACATGACTATTGCTTATGCACTACGTATGTTTCCGTATGTCTAAGGCCGGGGACAGAGAGGTGAGAAAACCATGAATAGCTCAGTAGTTTGTGGTTCTATTCCCTGATGGGAGTGGGAAGTAGAAGTGATTTTCATGTATGATTATTACTGATTCTCTGCATATGTTGTGTCTCAGGCTGGGGACAGAGAGGGTGAGGTTGCAGGTCAAGCAGACGACGACACGTCCGTCAACGGCTCCGTTGCCTACAGCATGTCACTCGACCTTGGGGACGCTCGGTCAGACATCTCTGAAGTCACCAGTGTAAGTCACATCAAATTTTCGAGTGGTATTTGCTGCATCAGAATTAGCAAATAGGAAAAGAGGGAACAGAAGAACATGATAGTACCACATGCAAATGTCAAGGGATAGATTGCACCAGGACTTTCTCTTGTTCATATGGCTTTAAATGTTCCTTTCACGAGGACGCACCTTCCTGCACAGTCTGTACATACTATTTCACCCGGCGTGATGCCGCTTGGCAGAGGAAGGAAGTGTACAGGATAGATGCTAAAGAGAATCATTGTTAATGTGTCACACATACCAACAGATAGATGGGTCTAAGTTTTAAGCTACGTTTAATGTTTTCAGTACTGTCTATTGCTTATTATAGACGTCTGCAGTATTTGGATACCTTTGATGATTTGGGCCTCACCGTTTGTTATGTAGTAGGCCTATCTTATTGTTGGCATTCATGCCTGTGTAGGCTTCCTCTGAGATGGCCTTGGAGTTTTTGTAGTCAACGCATTTTGTAGTCTAACGCATTCATGGTTCCACGCTAAAGCAGGCTTGCCTGTAGAAAAAGTGCCAATCGTGAATTCTTACCACCTCTGAACTCTCTTAGCACCGTTGATTGTTGTTTGTTGCCTTTTTAGTCCACTCTTCTCTCTGCCCATATCCTCACATGGGGCTTGCTTTCATCGATTCTCCCTCTCCAACTTGCCCACCCATCCCCATGGAATACGGATCAGCTCTTCTTATGATTGAACCCACCACCACCCTCCGAAATCACATACGTGCACCTTCGTCTGGGAGACTGCTCTCTCTGGCTGCCATGTTAGCTATGTCGGGCCTTCCTGGCGTAGAGAGTCTCAGCGTCCGCGTTCGGAGACGTACACGGTGTTGAGTCGCTGCTTTGTCGTTCCCTGCAGGAGGCCACCTTCACCGCCCGCAACCGCCCGCAGATCGAGGACCACCTGGGCTTCCATTCCTCGTCCGAGATGGAGCAGGACTCCAACGGGAACATGGGGAGCTGGGATAACGATGGCCGGCCCATGAGTCCCGGTCCCGGCGCGAGGAGGGACCACGCTGCTAGACTGCTGGCCTGGGGGATGCCAGCAGGGGAGCTAGAGAGGGCAGTCAGCCCCGAGCCTGGTGCACGCCGCCCCCCGCGGCTCGCGTGGGCCACTCCTGATCCCGAGGAGCTAAACAATCAGCAGGTACTAACAGCAAATTCCAACAAGCTGCGTCGTAACGTTAGCGTACGTTGTGTGGTGGTTTGGACAGCTGGAGAAGGGTCTGTCTGATCTCTACGGGTTGTGTTTTTACTCCATGCACCACTGTTTGTTTGTTGTCTCTCTGGAGCACACGGTTGGTTGGACTTCTCTCTTGTGTTGCTCTTCACAACTATTGGGATTGTCATCTGCACAGAGTGAAGAAACATCCTGGAGTGATTCTTTGAACATCCCCTCTTTATTGCACTGGTGATGGTCTCTAGCTCCTGAGCATAACTTTCCACCTGCAAACAATATGTGCAATGTACTTACATACACACTGTGATTATATTTCTTAAAAAAGTGACGTTGTACCAAGTTTTGACTGGATACAAGTTTTGTGACTAAGTTATATGAAAAAACACAAAGTCAGCTATATTTCAATGAAATAATGTAATATTTAAACAATTAAAGACATCACTTGAAAACTTGATAATATGATTATAAGTAAATTGAAAAGTGATTGACCCCACGTCATGAAAGGGATCTTCCCAAGTGTCTATCCAAAAGTGATAATAGTATAGATTACTTCCAGACCTTAAAACCCTGTTGTTCCCATGTGCAGGATGCCGCCCGAGCAGCAGACACGACAGTGGAGAAGGCCTCGGGTCCAGACGAGGTGGACCTGGAGGGTCTGCGGCAGCAGAAGGAGCTGCTGAGGAAGATGCTGGAGCAGCAGGAACAGCTGAGACAGCTGCAGGACAGGCAGAAGATGCTGGTCCAGCTGCAGGAGGAGGTGCAGGACACCCTGCAGAGGAGTCAGGCAGCTGCAGGTCAGTCACATGTCTCATTTGCATGGCATTTTGCATAAATGGGAAGATAACATGCTCCAATAACCAAATACAACCGTTTGATATCACAATAGGATTACAAATTTATGGGATTATGGGACCTCCGGTTTAACATCCCATCCAAGACGACGTCCCTTACAGAAGCTAGCCACTAGTTTTTAAGGAAAATAAGGAAATAGGTGTTAAGTGCCTTTCCCGCAAGGTCTCAACAATGGGGCCTGCCAGGAATTCGAACCCGGAACCTTGAGATTCTGAGTCTCTCTGTGTTCTAAAAGGTGATGAGGGTGCCCAGGGAGGTTTGATCCCGGAAGCTGTGGCAGATCGTCTGAAGGACAAACTGGCAGTGCTCCAGGGTAAGCAGGAGCACATGGCTGACCTCATGCGGCAACTGCACTCCCTGCAACACCTCAGGCAGATGCACGGTAAGGGTAGAAAGGAGTGTTATTTGCTTATCTATTTACTATGCTGTTTAGTTTTTGGAGATGAGTCGCCACTGAGCTTTTCTTTTCTTTTATGATTTCTACTTTCTGTAGTGCTCATTGTATCCAACTAAAGGAAAAGTTTTCTGTTGAAACCACAGAGTTAGACCCAACATCGAGCTCTGTGACATCTAACAACCGTCAGAATGAGTCCATTGAAGAGGCGATGAAGCGTCGTGAATCTGGCCAGCAGGAACCAGCGGCCAGGGCGCCGGCTGTCAGCGAACCTCGCCAGGATACAGAAAACAAGCTGAGGTACGCCATGTCAGCTTTTATCAAAATAAATTCTGTCATGCTGAATATTTATCTGTATGCTTGTTACTTATGGGTTACGGAAGTATTTAGGGTGACTGTTTTGTAGGTCTGTGTATCAGGAAGTGGAGTGAATTTGGAGGCCTCAAAACCTGGTCGACCAACAGTGGCCGACATGGGGCATTCAGGCAGCCGAAGTTTGTTGAAGGAATGGTAAACTGTCTTGGGAGAGAGATTGTTGAAAGATTGTTGAATTGTGTTTTCTTTCTTGCTCCAAAGGAAACTCCAGGATGTGCGAGAACGTCTGAACCAGCTGCGGGAGCTGGTGAGGTCCTACCAGGCCAGCGGCCTCGATGATGAAACCATCACCATCTCAACAACCACCAGCCAACAGAGAGATTCAGACTTCATGGAGAAGTGAGTCCCATTTATTATACTCTCCCATTTATTAACTTTTCTGACTCCATCCAAGTGTAAACTTTTCTGACTCCATCCAAATGTAATATCTTTCATTTTACTCTGTTTGCCATAGTGGAGTTGAACAAGATGATGATGATGACGATGATGATGAAGATGATGATGATGATGAAGAAGAGGATGACAGTGACAGTGATGATGAGGAAGATGATAATGAAGAGGAGGAGGAGGAAGGAGATGGTGGTGCCAGGGGCCAGGAGGACAACGTCAGTCTTTCTAGCTCCACACTCGCCACCATGGCAGAGGATCCTGTCATCAAGGAAAAAGTCAGGTCAGTGGGCTAGCAATTTGTCACTTCATAAAGAAATGGTTAGTGTTAAAAAGTGTCCCATTACTAGTGTGTACAGTGTTACAGATTTAGTTGGAAAAGATGGAAATCATTTGCTGCTGCTAGGTCATGAGTTCAATCCTAAGATTTTAAAAATTGTTCATACTACTCTTTTTGCCTAGTATCGGCATTTGGGAAAGAGTATGGGAGTTGAACACATACCAGTACCTGTGGACTAGTCCCCCCTGCTATAGTGATTGCACAACTTGTGGCCCAAGGTATACAGAAAAGGAGATGGGCGCTGTCCTATCCACAACAGATGTGGCAAAGACTTTTAATAAACAAACAAATATGTCTTGTTACGTGTTCTGTAATGTTCAATGCTTGGGTCACTATGCCAGCAATAGCTGCCTGTGTCCCACATGTATTGTATTGTCACAATCTTAATCAAATCGAATCAAACAAATCTTCTTCCATCCAAACTGCAGGAAGTTGCAGGAGGCGAAAGAGAAGCTGCGTCGCCTGCAGGACCTGGTGTCTGTGATGCAGACCAGCTCCATGCAGGGCATCACCCTGCCCAAGGAGCTGGCAGACCTGCTGGGGGAGACGGAGGAGGAGGAGGAGACAGACGAACCTCCCACCCGACAGGCCAGGGCACCACCGTCTCTGCCAGACTCGACCGCCAGCAGCCAGCCTGGACAGAGGTAACATGGCTTCTGTGTTCAGTTTTTATGTTCACCTGCACAGAAGGAAAACATATTGGTTTTGCTCTGTTTCTTCTTCTTCTCCAAGCACATAAGGTCAATGACCTGGACCAGATGTCTGTCACCATGGTAACTGCTGCTGTAGCAGACACCCTGTGGTTTTGGATTATATTATGTAGCAATTGGCAAGACAGAGTTAGAGGGGTTGGTCCTGGTCACCTTACCAGTATATTAGTTAGTATATAAATGTGTTTAAGTAAGAACAAGAACAGAAAAGTAGTTTGTTGGACTACACTATTTGAAGCTTAACAGCTTTGCAAATGTTACCTTTCTAGTTGACTTTAGGTGTTATAAGGTTAAGTGTGTGTTTCAGCATGGATGATCAGGTGCGGAGGATGCAGGAGGAGGAGCTGGCCAGTCTGCTGCAGGAGAAGGAGAGGCTCATGGCCATCCAACAGGAGCTGCTCAGGCTGCAGGACGCCAAACTCACCATGGCAACCGCTCACCAACAGGTACTGGTACAAGTCTCTGTTTCACAAAATTTTACAGTTTTTATACTGGTGTTGAATGGCCAAAGGACTAAGAGGACTGGATACGAGATAAAGAGCTCACAGGTTTGATTCCCCTTGTGTTCCTGGCTTTTTGTCATTGGGAAAGACTTTCCTCACTCCATCTAGGTGTAAAATGGGTACCTGACTTTGGTTGGGCATGTAAAAGACAAGAAACTGTGGCTATTGCATGTCAATGTAGATGGCTTTTAATGAGCACACTGATCATGGGTACAATTTCAGATTCAATGATTTAGTTGATAATTACTGAAAGCCTGTATGGTTCTGATGTTTACAGGAGGCGAGGGCAGACTCAGCCCCCAGTAGTGCCCGTGTCTACAGGGAGAGAAGCACTGGTACTCGAGAGGCTGCACAGCCCCAGCCTCGGCCGCTCTATCAAGGTGCAAGTGCAAGTCAGAGACAGCTGCCTCCAAGTAAGTCTTCCAGATGTAGTTAAGATATGTAGTTAACGAGGAAAATTACATACCAAAAATAGGTCTTTGTAAGAAAATGCTGCTTCTTATAACTGGACGTTTTTGAGCTCAATTGTATGATTAATCAAAGTTCTAGTTCAATGTCAGGTCCTTTTCTTAGTATATTGATTGAATTGTGTAGAAAATTGGAAGTTTTAAGCATTGAAATTTCTGCTGATTTTGCTCTCCAGGACAAAGGCCCACAGACCGTGACACGTGGGAGGAGCTACGACAGCAGATGATGCTACGGGAAGAGATCCGCCGCAAGCGCACGGAACTGGAGGATCTTGTACGTACAGAAAGACAAGCACGACTAGTCAGGGTAACTGCACATGTTGTAGAATGTAGACAAGCCTTTTGTATCTGAATCTGTATTGCTGGTATAACCGCAATTCAGTGTAACACACCAGCTGTGCTGTCTCATGCTGCATCACATGTTTTTCTTTTGATAATGCTCAATGTGTGGCTTGCAGTGGTTTCAATGTACTGCTCTGAAAATTTGGGAAGAAAATCAACAAGACATTCTGTTTTCTTTCACATTTCTGCATGTAATTTGATTGTCTGTGAGCAGCTCTCTAGGTTTGTTGTAAAATTCTTCTTTTATTTTCCCAGACATCAGCAGCAGAGAAAGGCGACTTCTCAGTCATCAGTGACACATCAGGGTTCCCAGGGTAAGATCAACAGAACTTGTGCCAGATTTTTTAGAAGAAACTTTGATAGTCTAGTGGTCAGCGACCCTGCTCTGGACCATTAGGTTGGGAGTTTGAATCCCACTGTTCAAATTTCAAAAGTTTCAAATTGCTCCCTCAGGTACAGTGTGATGAGTGGTGGAGATGTTACCATGGCAACTTGGGGTGGGTCCACACAGCGCAGCAGTGACTCTGTACAAGACCAGGGCATGGACTTCAACTCTATGGACGAAGGTCAGGCAATATGCAGGGCTCAAAATACGACCTGCAAAACTACCTTGCATTCTCTAAAGAAGCATCAAGGCATTGAAGACAGTAAAGAACGTCAGTAGAATTGAAAATATTGTTACCAGAACATTTTTTCAGAATATTTCAGTTTTTTATTTGATTGAAAGGAAAAGGAAATGTCATGCAGGTAGATTTCATCTTGTGCAGGCAAGATTAAGTGTGAGAATCTGATGTACAAGTTTTTGTATTACCTCCCCTCCCCACAGGCTATCCCAGTGATGGTATAGTCCAGGCAGAAGAGGAAGAGGAGGAAGATGGCAGCCAGGCCACCTACACCATCGAGAGGGGTCCTGGTGGGAACTACCTACGTGTGTTTCCAAGAGCCGAGCAAGACTTAGGTAAAACTTTAACTTTAGCTAGTAGACGAAAGGTTTCCATTGATGTGAAGAGAGCTTTTAGATTATGTTGGTTGTCTTTGTGTTAATTTTTTTTGCAAGAAATTGCTGTTAATTTTTTTCATCCTTTTATTTCAGGGAGAGACAGTTTTGCGCCGTCAGGGAGCCGTGGATACAGCTCAAGTAGAGACTCCTGGAGGAATAGGCAAGAGGTATGCATACGCTTTCAGTTTTTTTTCAGCTTTTCAGTTTCTTTTAAAACCACCACTGACCTTGCTTGTGTTTTTAGAACTACAGTAACTGTAAATATTAATGCCCATGCTTGTCTGTGTGTGTAGAACTACCGTTCAGCTGAGGAGCTGATGCAGGAGGATGTGTCTGGGTGGGTGGTGAAGGAGTGCCGGCGGCTGCAGGACCTGTGTGGACAGTTACAGCAGCAGATGGGATCCACCACTAACCTGTGTCAGGCACTGCTCGCAGACCAACAGGTCAGGGGTTCACTGGGAATAATGTTCACCTTGAAGTTTGCAGAAGGAAACATATATCTGTTTCCTCTTCTCTTTCTCCAAACACATAAGGTCAACAGATGTCTGTCACCATGGTAACTGGAACTGTAGGAGACATACACCCTGTGGGTTACATTATGAAGCAAGTTGCAGGACAGAATTGGAGGGGTTGGTCAAATACGAATTTGTTTGAGTAAGAATAACCAGATCAGTAGTTTGTTGGGCTAGACCATGTAAAGGTAAATATTATGTAAAGGATGTGCTTTTTTTAGTTAACGCTTTAACACAGACAGTAATTTGACACATAAGATGCTGTAGGACCTGTATTTGTATAGCCGGTATAACCGCCCTTCTGCGTAACACAAAGCTAAAAAGGATAACACATTGTTTCTTATTCTCTATTTTCCATAGTTGCTGAACAGGCTGGTATCCAGCAGCCTGAACGGTTCCAGTGGGTACGGCAGCGGGAGTGCGTCGCCCCAGACACCGCGGACGGACCTGCTGGCGTACTTCAGCGGCCAGCTGCACCAGAAGCAGCAGCTGCTGGCCCAGCTCCTGCAGTGTTACAACCAGCTGTCGCAGCAGCAGCACGACCTGGTGGTCATGCAGCAGACCTGGGAGGGTGCACACACCCTCCAGGACCCCAACCACCCCGCCGTCACCTCACCTACACCCACCTCTGCCCCCTACCGACCTGATAGCAACCCCTTCTCACACCCCCAGCTCAGCCCGTTTGCATCCTCCTACCCGAGTCACCCACGTGGGTCGTTCACCTTCAGTCCCAGCTTCCCTCCCAGCTTCCCCAACCCAGACAACACCCAGTCCTACAGACTCCCCACGCCGGGGAGCGGGTACAGGGGACTCCAGCCTACCAGCGAGGGAATGCAGCAGACTGACATCACCATTCCACCAGACAGGATGACCAGGAGACAGCCTGACATCCCGGCCAGGAACATGCCTGCTCCTAAAGGGGCAGTACAAACCTCCAGTGGGATGGTTAGAACAACACAGGCTACAGCACCAACAACAGTACCAAAATTAGACTTCACCAAACTTAAGAAGTCCAAAGAAAGGTAAACTTTATGTTCCTTTACTGAGCCATTTCATATCATCATTGTTTGACAATCCGAACAATCTGAGTTTGATGATGTCTTGTGTTATATTTTTCTTCATAAATTTTTCTTCACTTTTCAGTTCAAGAATGCAAGGTACCCCTGACTCCAAGACAAAGAAATCCAAAAAGAGAGGTAGGTCGAATTACAACCTCTTTTAGTAGATTTATTCTGTATCTACATAGCTGGTATAACACACCAGCTTATGTATTCTGTCGTATAAACAAAAATTCTTCATTAATCTATGTACTTATTCCTTTGTAATCATCATTTGTATCCATTTCTGCTTCATTGTGTTCATAATGGTGAAATTCATGCTTATGTATGTGTATGCTCTGTTCCCCACTAGGCCACAGAGCCACCATGTATGAAGCAGAAGGGGACCAATTGTCCCAGAGTTTCCCCCACGTCACAGCCGGCATCAGTGGTACAGGGTTTGACACCACCAGTATCTCCAGTAAGCTGTCCAGTGTCACAGGCAGTGAGAGGCCTGATGCAGACGTGCTGTAAGTGGCTTCTGCAGTTTAACATCTTTTTACCAACCATAGTTAGGAGTAGGTCAGGCGCAAGATTGGCTATTTGGCTCCATCAGCCAAATATTTCAATATGTGTAAATCATTTAGATATGGATAGGGGGTTTGGCTTTAGTTGGCTGGTGATTTGGAGTAGGTTAGCAATGTTCAGGGAACTGGGTAAGTTTGACACATATTTAACTCAAATTTGATTTGATTCATACAGAAAAGTAGGTGTGCTCCCAAACTTAAGCCATCCTTGGTTGGTTGGTGGTCTGGGAATGTTGTGAATGTGTGACAGGGGCTTTACTGTTGTTCTGTGTCTGTAGGTCCTCCCATGCTGCCAGTGAGGTCTCGTTATTCGAGGCCCTGCGTGACACCATCTACTCGGAGGTGGCCACGCTGATCTCGCAGAACGAGTCCCGGCCACACTTCCTGATCGAGCTGTTCCGGGAGCTACAGATGCTCACCTCTGACTACCTGCGACAGAGGGCTCTCTATGCTTTACAGGTGTGTAGCAAGGTTCAACTGTTGTGCTTTCATTTTCTTAACACGGGCATTATGATTTAGAGCCACGTGAAATACAACTATTCAGATACCTTTAATGCCTCCTTCTATTCACTTTGTTTTGCTGCAAAAGTGTGGTGTACCTTCATGATATTGCACCTCAAATACAAGATAAAAGGACACATTTTTTATGTATGCTCTGAAATGTTTTCAGAAAGCAGTTAAATATTTCTTCCTTCTCACTGATATAGCTTATCCGACAGCTTTTACTGAACTCATCAACTTTAAGTGAGCTAAGAATATCTTAAGATGTGTCTGTGTTAAACTTTCCTCCAGGAACTGGTGACGCGGTACCTGACAGAAGACAGCATCAAACAGCACAGACCTCCCATCAGCATGCCTGTCAACCTCAGGGCCTGGCTGGGGGGAAACTCAGAACAGACTCCCAGGTAGTCTTCTTCTCTTTTATTTAGCATAGGATCCAAATGGCATGTGAAAGTTCCACTCAGTGTACACTGTCAGACATTTTACATGACAAATGAATGCAATTTTTAAAAAACCAGAATTACACAGCTTTGTACGGCCTTTGCACGTTTTAATTGAGAAATGCACGGCTCTTAATCACATTCTGTACGACTTCTCATTGTGATTTGCACCCGTGTAGATGAGAAACTATTAGAGATTTGAGTGTTGTTTAAGGTGTCTACTTCTGTCCCCAGTGACAGTATGGTAACCTCAGACAATGAGGGAGGTGAGGAGGGGCGCACCATGCCTGGTCAGTATGACTACATGGAAGACGCCGGCTCTGCCAGCTCCATGTCCACCCCCCAGTCCGAGGGCGGCTTCGACCCCTTCGCCAACGACGACCTGGGCAACACGGTAATCCACCTGGACCGCGCCATGCACCGGATGCGTGAGTACGAGCGGTTGAAGGCGGAGGCAGAGGGTGGGGATGACGGTTCCCCACACAGCTCGGAGCCCGGCCAGGCCAACACCACCTCTGCTGCCACCAGCACCAACAGTGCGACCAGTAACTCCTCTGCTCAGGACGTCGGCTCCGAGAGCTCCATATCGGATGGACCGGTCAGTCACAGGCTTTTACTTGTATGTTCTCTCTCACTCTCTTAACTACTGTCAGTTTCCTTTGGATGGCATAGCATACTTTTAATAAAAATCTCATTGCATTGCCATAAGAATTCAAGTGCACAATCCTTAAAAATATCTTATTGGAAGCCTAATCTCTCCTAAAACTTTCAATCAATTTAATTTTTACATAAATACAAACATGTTAAGTATATAGGATCCTGTGCATATGTTAATGCCAGAAGAAGAAATGTTTCAATGTGGTGTAGGCAGTGACAATGGCAACAGGTGGTTGAGGTGTGTAACTACTGTAGCTTTCTTTATAGTAGAGTAGATTCATTCTCAAACTAATCGGCATTAAGCACACTGCAGTCATCCCTCAGTAAGACATCTGGAGCCGCATAGTTCCCTTTCAGAACAGCCTGTAGCTTTGTTAGTTTGTTTATCTGTATCCTGTTTTCCCCCCAGTATCCCCGTGTGGACACGCAGCAGTTGGACCAGGAGATCAAGGCCATCATGACGGAGGTGATTCCCCACCTGAAGGAACACATGGAGGAGGTGTGCTCTCCCCAGCTGCTGGCTTACATCCGCAGGCTGGTCATGTCTCTCACACGACACAGGGATGACAGCAAGGTAGGGGAATATAAGATTCAGAAACATATTGGGAAGTGGGGTAAACTTGTTGGCCTTTCAACTTAAGTTGTCTCATTACTTTCATTATTTTCTCTTCATTTTATGCTTCATTTTTTTGCAGTTATAGATGATGATGATGCATGTAACTTTGCTGTTTCAGGAGTTTAGCAGGTTCTTCCACAAACAGCTGGGCACCATCTTACAAGACTCCCTACAGAAGTTTGTGGGAAGGAAGTAAGTGGCTCCCCTCAATTGAGGTTTAGAGGACTGTCTTAAAGTTATTATTGTTATTTAGTCCTATGGATAATGTCCCATCTGAGAGGATTCGAACCCAGAACCTTCAAATTCAACCCTAACCACAAGACCACCTGGCCTACATACCCTCTTCAGGTGTGATTTTCACTTCACTATAAACTCTTAGCTCTCTGCATATACTTATCCTTGTATCCATGATGTAATTCCTGTATGTATCTCCTGACCATATCCCTGATGTCATCTCTGTGTGTATCCAGGATGCGGGACTGTGGGGAGGACTTGTTGGTGGACATCTCAGAGATCCTGTTCAATGAGCTGGCCTTCTTCAGACTCATGCAGGACCTGGACAGCTCACCTTCCAAGACTGGCTGCAGCCCACACAGGTGAGCTGGCTTAAGGGGTCTTTACACTTGAGTTACACTTTATCTGTGCAGCCATTATAACAGCTCTCAAATCACCAGGAACACACCAGCTTCGCTGACACCCAGCAAGGCAGCAGCTGGCCATGTTAAGAATGCTGTTTAATTTGATTCCCAAACCTTAAGATCTGTTAATGTTTCTATAGTCTGGAGAGGAGGACCAGACGACGGGGCAGCGAGGCGGCAGCCAGGAGGTGAGGGGGAGGGGAAGTCTGACAGCAGCAGCTCCACGGAGACAGGAGACGAGGACGGAGACACCACACCCAAGGGGACGGCCAGTCACACCACAGGCACACAGGCCAGCTGGCACAGGGAGAAGGTAACAGGCTTTTATCTTAAAACTTCATCTGTGTTGGTAGAAGTCATTATGAGGCATGTTCAAACTGTCATTTCCCACACTAAGAAATTGGACTTGGCCAAATTTTTTACAGTACAACTCAAGTCTTTTTCCGGGAATGAGCAATCCTCTGCTTCTGTGATGTCACGTTATGCAGATGAAACACATGACTCAGTGAATCTCCAATATCTGTTTCTTTTCTTTAAAGTGGAATTTTAAGATGTCTTTTTTTCTAAGATGGAAGACTTCCTTATAGAAGACAGCTTCAGTTTGTGTGCAAACTTCTAACCACCATTGTGTAATCAATTTGTTCACAAAAATGTCTAATCACCAGAATTTTCTCTTCTTGCCCCCAGGCCAGCAGTGGAGTGAACACCCAAGGAACAGGACAGGGGAGCAGGTGAGGAAAAAATTCGCTATATCTCCTGCAACACATTCACTTCCTATTACTCTGCTTGTATCACGTTCAAGAAAATTGATACTATGTGTATATAAGTTAAGTTCATGATTGTGATCGTTTTTTTTCCCAGAATGTATCCTGATGTTCCTCCTGTTAAGTTCAACCTGTCAGTGAGTGAGTTACAACCTCTCACCAGGTCAGTAATGGTACCAAAAAGATAAAGGGATTCCTCACCTACCTTACTTTGGACTTACAGTTGTATTTTCATGTATGAAATGATAACGAAAATGTGCTGAGAAATAGCTGCAGTAAATGTCAATATCAGACAGATTTCTTCATCCAGAATGTTTTTTTGTTTTGCTGCCCTGAAGTTGGATTGGATGCCTTTAAGGTTACTTGTGTTTTTTGTTCCTCAGCTACGGCAGTGGGGAGGAGGATGAGGAACAGGAGACAGAGCAGTTTGAAGAGGTGACAGACATTCCGACAGGTGTGCAGGCGGAGAGGGACGTCTCAGACGCCAACACCACAACGCCGTCCACAAACCAGCCAGAACAGGCCAGTTCACCACAGAAAACCGGCTCCCCGTCCAAACCGGATCAGCCTGGTTCACCTGCGAGACGGCAAGGGGAGGAGCCTGTAACAACTGCTGATAAGGAAACACCGTCCACACCGAAATCTGCTGAAGATGGCACAGCAGAGACAGCGGGCGAAGGAGAAAACGGCCAGGTTGTCATGCCTGAGCAAGGTGTGTACATATCAGGACAAAGAATCTGATCTGGTAGAATTGGTGATACTACTGGTAGAGATCCTGATTGGAGTCTTTGTTGACAGAGACTCCGATAAGGATGCTGTTAATGTGTCAGGGTGGTTACCCATTTACAAAAGTGGCAGTTGGCTATAACTGGCTAGTGGTCCGTTGTGTAACATACATTAGTTTTCCTTGTGGCTTTTCAGAAGAAGACTACATTGATTGTCACAGATAAGCAACATTTCTTTGTCATGTTTCACTGTTAGGTAAGGACAAGGCTGAAGACAAAGAGGTGCCCATTGCAGAAAACGGGGTGCCTGAGCAAAGTGAGGAGGCTCCTGAAGTGGGCCAGGGTGACCAAGTCGGAGAGGTGTCCCCAAGGAGCCTGACAGCTCTGTCTAAGGTAAAGGGTCAATGATAGTAGTAAAAGTACTCTCTCTATAGCCACCTGTTACATCAACACTTTTATGCTCATGTTAATACTGGGGTACTTATATTTACTTTTGCAGAAGGAAAACATTGTTTTTCATTAGACTTCTTCTCCGAACACATACCGTCAATGATCTGGACTGGATGGCTGTCACCATGGTAACTGGTGCTGTAGCAGACATTCTGTGGTGTTGGGTTACATTATGTAGTAGGACAGAGTTGGAGGGGCTTGTTACCATATTTACTCAATACGTTATTCATTTGCTTGCAAATGTTATTGAAAGATTATGGATGTTAAAAAATATTGATGTTTTTTCCAGGAGGTGCTGGACCAGCAGCAGGCAGAGGAGGACAAAGAGAACGTCCTGGTGGCTGAGATGATCGCCGACGGTGGCATGAACCCTCAGCTGGCAGGCGACCCCAACAAACTACCAGAGGTGGAGTCCTCTGCATAGACGTTTGTTAGGTGGTGTGTAGAAATCCGTCCATATAGTGGGTGTGCATGTGCCTGTGTGAATTCTGAGCGTAGGGCGTGTGTATGCAGATTGGGAAAAGAGGAAAACTTGCCTGGTCTTCCATATCAGCCAATCGTAAATTGCAACTAAAAGGAGGGAATTATCTACCCTGCATATGTCCATAAGCTATCTCTTGATTCACAAGTTTTGACTAGTTCTGCCAGTATAAGTTACTATAACCTAGTGACGCTGAAGAAGAGTGATGTACATTTGTACATGTATGTCACTCAGAACGTCTGATAATCTCTATTTTGTCCGAGATTGAAATGTCTATGAGTGTCTCCAGTGAAAAATACTAGAAAAGAATTCTTTGGCAAAGTCACCCATGCACACACCCTATCCTCTGGATTCACTAGACATATGCAGTACTGAATTGAGTACAAAGTTTTCACTCCCAGATGCACAGGTGTACTATAGACTTGTGTGTCTGTATATGCACATAGAAAAGGAGTATGTAATGTTTCTCATTGAAAATTTGAATTTATCAAGGAATTTACACTTCAATGTAAATGTAGAATATATAATTGTAATGATTTAGAAAGAGTATAAAACAATCAAATTGTAGTTGCCTCTACTCTGTACGAAGAGTTGTAAGTTCCATAGCTCGGATGAATTGTACTAAAACAAGTTGTACATATTATTATTCTACTACTGTATCTCCTATACTGCGTTTGCTGCTTCTTTTGCGGCAAATCCTCCTTGCAAATCTGAAGACATTTTCATTCCATATCAAAGAAAGTCTGTATGTTGAGTTTGACTCCAATGTACCTGTTCTTCTTACTGACTTATGCGGTAACTGATACAAACTTAAACTGGGTGTACTAACTTACCATAGGGAGAAAGTTCATATATCAACAGTGTATGTACTATTAGCTGCTTTGTTGTTGTGAGACAAAAAAAATCACTAAATGATCTGATTACCCAAGTGGTATCTCCCAGACTTTACCCTGTACATTGTTTTCATGGCTTAAAGTAGCTTTTCAACTGTCATTCCAAGTTGTTGACGGGTGAAAATTGTGCTGCAATTGTAAACAGTCCACTTTGTATGAAGAGTCTTGTCCTAGATAATATTTCCTTTCCTTACTTAGTACTTACTGAATTGTACGAGGTGTTTGAAGGAAAAGCTGGAGAGAGAAGCACAGTGATACCACTGATTAAGACTAATAGTAGGATGGTGTCTGAATATCCCAATCTGCACAGATATTAGTCAATATCCTTTTAGACAGAAATGTTTTCAAATTGCCCTTCTTTTGTTTGCTCTCATTTCACATGTAGATGTTTTCTGACCCATACATTTGAGATTCTGGTCCTGAAACAAGTTGTTAAGTGCAAAGGATGGTTTAGTCTAGTAGTTGTTATATCTCAGCTCCAACATTTGCTTTATACCTTTATATTGCATTGTGTAGCCTACAACATGTTGCAAACAATCTGATAATTGACATTCTTAGTACAAACTGTGACGGATGTTAGTATGTCTTCAAATGTAAGAATCCTGAGTATTTTTGTATGGACTAGTAATCATTTTGAGTGATGTTGATTTTTAAAAAAATGTAATTTTGTTTTTTTTGTTTTCATTATTGACCTACATGTGCATGTAGGAATGTACAGTTTAGAAGAAGTTACAAACTGAGACTGTATGTTACACCACTTGTGTGAAGTTTTCCAAACGATGAATCCCGTGGGCATGTTTGTTTGTGTTACAGAATGGAGCAGCTAGTTTGGTTTGTGATTTTCAGTGGGGTTTGCAAATAAATGAATTTTCACCTCAGTTTTTCGTCCAGTCATCTCTGTGTACAGCACTTCTTGGGACATCTGGACTTACGTCTCATCCGATAGGACATCCTTTAAACCAAATCTTGGTACTCAGTTTCACTCAGTGCGTCGAGTGAGGAATTAGCTGTAATACCTGTAAAGTGCTGTACCCAGTGGCGCGACACTGGGGCAATCCAGGAATTTAAAGCCTTCCGATTCTGAGATACTGACCCTAGCAACATGCATACATACATACACAGTATAGCACGACCACTTCATCACCTTTTGCCTTTTCGTGTATATGTTTTATGCATACTGCAGAACGAATGCGCCAAAAAAAACAGTCAAGCAACTATATATGGTTTTGGAAACGGTCAGACGTTTCAGGTAGCATCCACTACCTTTTGTCAGTGACGTCGACACTGGAGAATTGACAGAAAGTCAGGTTGCATTTATGACAACTCTCCATTGTCACTGAAGAAAGATAGTGAATGCTACCTGAAACGTCTGACCGTTTCCAAAATCATATATATGCGTGTCTTATTACCTGGGTGTCTAACCTCCGCCGATGCAGATAGAATGTGTAAGAACTCGAGATAAAACGTGTGCGAACTTGAGGTAGATCGACAAGTGTGTTTACGACGTCTTTTTTATTGAACAACATATATACTTACGGGACACTGGAGTGGGCAACTCTAGCATGCTGCTAATCTTACAAAGACAGAGGAAGACTGACAAAGAAGAGTGCATACATTGGTAAATAATAATAACAAAACATGTAATAAAACAAGTAACAAAACAACAAGTAACAAAACAAGAAATGGACGATATGAACGATACTAAAAAAAGGAACCCGTCAAAATGTTTTGAAAAAGAATATTAATGGTTTTCCGTAGGCAGTTGAACACATTTAGTCAAGTGTTTACGACTTGCCATCTAACCTTTCAGACCAGCGGATTTCGACTGCAAGACGTCATTTGACTGGCGTTGCCTAGCAACCCCACTTGAGGTGTTTTAAGCTGCACACCTCGTGTATTCGCGAAGGTTTTTTCTTCAACCTCCACCACAGAAATAACCCCATTAGCAAAACACCTTAAATGCCTAATGATTCCCATTAAGTGTCAACAGCTGCTACAATCTTTCATTCGCACCCGGCATACAACAAGACGGATGGGTATTTCTAAAGCAGACACGTTTTCTCATCTCTTTTCTCTTCTCTCCTGAACCATGGAGGAAGAAGCGAGTGGTAGTTTTGACAGCATGTACAACGCGTTCCGTAGTCTGGAGGCGTTGAACAGTCGACTGTCTCGCGGCCTCCAGACGGCGTATCTCGTCCTCAGCCTGGTGGTGGCTGTGGGTTGTGGCCTGCTGCTCATCTACCTGGTCTGGAAGAAGGAGTATCTCCGAAAGCCCCGCCACTACCTGCGGTGTAACCTGGCAGTAGACGACATCATCTTCACGGCCTGCATCATTCCCACCGAGATCTGCTTCCTCTTCAGTCAAGACGACACCAACGATCAACAGTTCTGTGCGGTCCAAGTGCTGGTGGTTCACCCGTCCACAATATCCATGTTTGGTACCTACCTGCTCATGGCCATAGAGCTGTACTACTTCATCTGCAAGCCGCTCCACTACAACGGAAAAGTCACCACAAAGCGCGTCGCCATCGGCATCGTTGCAGTCAGGGCAATCGCCATGATCTTCGGGATCGGGCCTCTGGTGGTGAAGCGACTGCAGGGCTCGGGTGACAGCCTGCGGTGTGGTCCCGAGCCCATCGGCAGCACCAGCGCGTCCGCCGTCTTCAGAAGCGTTGGTCAGGGCGGGATCGTGCTCGCAGTCCTCGCCAACTTCCTGCTCTACTTCTTCGTCTTGAAGGAAGCCAGAAAACAACAGGAGAGAGACGAGAATCGCAACCTGTGGCTCTGTCAGACCAAGGCCTTCAGAACGATGGCACCGCACGCCATTGTTGTCATCGTGTCGGCAGCAACCCTCGCCTTCGTCAGTGCCTCGTTTCGGTCTCTTTTCAACGGAGACGGAAGAAAAGCGACAGCCTCTCTGCTCATCACAGCTCAAGTGGCCAAGCTGCTAAACATAACCGTCTCATCGATGGTCAACCCCATTGTCTACAGCTTCGGGCGCCCGGAGTTCTTGCGAGCTTTGAGGGAGCTGTGCAGCACGCCTCCTGACGCACCACCAGTGTCACAGGGCATGAAGACGGCTGTCTTCAACATCCACATCTCATCAGCACCAACAATGCCACAAGGAAAGCGCCAGCAGGGAGAGGAGTCTCCCCACAGTCCGGTTCAAACACAGGCAACACGTCAGGCAGAGGCATCGCCCCAGGGAGCGCCACTTCCAGGACAGTGCACACAGCAGACGCCCCAACCAAACCGGCCCGCTGTCCTCACCGTACAAGCAGAGGTGCACCCTAGCCCACCGCCACTCCCACAACACCGCGGACAGAAGACAGGCCCTCCTGAACAACACAGACAGGCAGAGGTGCACACCAGCCCACCACCACTCCAACACAGACAGCCAGAGGTGCACCCCAGCCCACCGCCACTCCCACAACACCACGGACAGAAGACAGGCCCTCCTAAACAACACAGACAGAAGATGAAGGGAAATTCCACTTCGATGCCAGTCATTTACATAGACGAGAATCTCATTTTTCTTAGATTATGATGGACTGCAAACCAAAGACAGCAAAACAACGCACTTGACTAGCAGACACCGTCTCCCAGTCCAGCCCGAACCAGAGACTCGAAGAGAAAAGAATCACGAGACGTGGCTGACTGCTGCCGTTGAACTTGGAGTCCTTGGACAGTGTTATAGAAGGTAAACATTCTATTCCAACAGAACTTCTTTCAAAGTATCATACAAAAAGAAACTGTATACAAACATCAACATTTAACGCGTTGGACAGTTATCAATTTTAGGACTACAAAACTAAGTTGATTCAAGTTCAGAACAGCTACCCACGAAGAGAGGGTACAATCACTTTGTCGTGCACAAAAATCATGTACATATTGATTGATTTATTGATTGATTAATTTATTTATTTATTGAATAGCTAAAATAGTATTATGAACGTGGCGTTATGGCCTTTCTCTAACATGGAAGGAAAGGAACTTTATCTATTTATTTATTGAGATGACAGCATTTTTAGTTGACAGCATTTTGTAACAGGATTGATATTTCCTGTTATAATTTTTTTTCGGCATGAATTTGATGTATTCATGACGTCGTTTGCTCTACAGTGCTATCTGACAGCCGCCCTTGTAGTGTTTTATCTACGTACCTCCGGTACTTAGGAATACGCTCTACATCCTGTAGTACAAAAATAACCTGTTGCTAAGAACCACATTGCCACAATGAGCCATTAGGCTTATGTAAAGTCACCAGCGCACTGTTCATGTTGTTTGAAACCTTTGGGCAGCTGATTAGCAATGAGCGGTAATGCCGTCAGACAAACCTACAAGGAATTAAACCGAAAGGAAAATGTGAGAAAAGAAGGAGAAAGGATGAAAATTTGTGCAGTTGTTTAATAGTACATGTATCATTGATCATATGTGCAAGTGTGGTGACGGTCTGCGGAATTTCTCTGCCTAAGGTACCAGGCTACTAAGTAGTAAGACATGCCTTTTTTTCTTATCAATAAAGACATCTAATAGATGCATGATTTCCAGTCTGTTGTACTGCACATTGCGATGGTTTTATTTAGCAGTTTTTGATGTGACGTCAAATGGCCTAGGCTAGCTGCGAAAGGTCTCGGGGTCAATCGCTGGCCGATCCCTTGGCTAGACGTTATGTCGTTGGGAAAGGCGCTTTCTCAAACGCGAATTTCCTCACTCCACTCAGGTGAAATGGGTACCTGACTTAAGTTATGGAGGTAAAAGTCAGTGGAAGGAGAGGGATGGGCTCCACCTTTCAATACCATGCCCTATAGCTAGACACAGTGGATTAACAACCCACTGCACCTACGGCTAGAAAAAAAGCTATGGGACTACCTTTACCTTTCGCTGTGGGCTCTTACCAGAAATCATAACACAACAAATTCTAATTCTAATTTGACTTTATGTAATTCTACTATATACATATACTAAAGAACTGTTTCAACGTGAAACGTTAGATGCCACAAAAACATCATTTTCCCTTCTACCGTGTAAGAAGACAACAACATGTGCAGTAGTTCCTGGGGGTACTTAAGATAGAATACTTCTTAATGAAGTCCTTGAAAGCGATACATCATCTGCTCTCTCATGCAACGCACATAACGACGAGGAAGCGTAGTGGGCTTGGTAAATTACATATTGTGTAAATTGTTTCGCATAACCGGTAAACCACCTTCAGGCGTAACGCACCAGTTTTGTACATACCAGCAAGTGGTCACATCCTTCGCTGAAGCATGGAATGGCAGATGTATACTACATATTGCTATTGCAATCCCAATGATTAAGATTTTTACCTCGCAGCATCTGCTTGGTTTTCGTTCATATGGTAATGAGATCGACAGCGAAATCTTCGCTTCTGCGAAGGATGTGACCACTTCTGCAAACGATCAGCTGATCGCAAAATCACGTTTTGCCGCATAACTCAAGAATGACGCAAATTTTGTGAAAGGCATTTGGCAGGAATAGAAAAGAGATCGTTAGCAGTACGCTCTGAAAAGACGGAGGCCGACAAATGTCAAAAGTTTGATTTTTCTAAAATTGAAGAACGGAAAATTCATCCCCTATCACACCCCCGTTCTGGAGCACCCGTTCCGAAAAGCGCCGCATCTCGCTAAGAAGCCTCGCTCATTCCCAGATTTGGCCATTTCGCGAGTTGGGAAACGAGATGGGCTCTTATGGGGTTTTTACTTCAGATCTTCCCTGCTCTTGTTCTTGACCTTGAGGCTCGCCCCGACTACCTACGTATCACGAATTTATCAGGAAAGAACCGTTTTAGCCTTACATCTGTTCATTTTGAGACAAACGTTCCCAGGACAACTTTTAGGAGTTACTGAATACGGAGCTTTTTCGTCAATATTCCTGTCATTTTAGCATCTAAAAACTTTTTAAAAACCTACCATTTACAGACAATGAAACTTCCACACCTCCTTCACACAATTTTACCGGCAAGCTGTTAATTACTCACTGGAAAGATTTTTGATCATTGTGTATTACCCATCTATAGATCAACTGTCTCAGTTAAGTATACAATCTTAGTTAAATGTTTAAAAAAGTTAAGTACATGTACTACTATTACATCCCCTGGTGAACTGGCCTGTCTATATTCATTCCTCTTTCCCATATATATGCATTCAAGAAGATACACAACAACACATCACACAAAAACCCAATGGTTAGGTGAGAAACTTTATTTTCCATCATATACGTCACATATAGTACTATTGTACATACCATGAATTGCCCATAGTACAACTGAATAAATCAAGCAACTGGACAAGTTCTCTACGAGTCTCTACCAGTTACTCCTTAAACAGTTAGTACTATATCAAATCATGAAAGCCAGCTTTATATCTTACATTTACATCACCATCTAAAACAAACTAAAGGCTTTGCACGTGATAGAAGCATGAAGACTGATAGAGTAAATCATAACCAAACTACTGATACAAACTGCTTAACAGTAATTTACAAACTTGACATAACTTTGCAATATTTCTAGACAAAGTTTTGTCTTCCTTCATGACACCTGGCACATAACTATGTATGTTGGATTGTAATATACCCCTGTGACATACAGTACATGTACAATTATCCAGTACTAAGTAAAGAATGTTAGCAGAGAAAAGTATCCATATCATACAGATTATTATCCTTACATGATTCTTGTCTCAACAGAATCTTTCAAGAAACTAAGTCAATAAGCAGTACATTATAAGCTTTCATATCAGGCATATAAAAATCTATCTTTACATGTACATTGTATATACCAAAGCCAAACAGAATGGCACTTGGGCCGGCTGTAACTTGTAACAAGTACAGAATGAGAACATATCCCTTGTTGCTCATTATGATAAGGTATTTTAGCATAGTTAACCTTCTTTCTGATAAATTGTACTGTAAATAGTATGGTGACTACTAGATGCTTAAGGAGAATTTTTAATTTGACACTTATTTCTTCACTTCCCACACTAAATACATGTACAAGGTTGCTATACACAAGTACGGTAGTTGTCTCTCAGTCCCTGTCACAACATGACAAATACATATAATCCACTTAACAAAAAGAGGCTTTGGTTTTTCTTGAGCATCAATTACATACGATGTATACATAATCAGAGTAACAATAGTAAAAAGTAACACAGTGTACAGAAATAAGCTGGATACGTTTTTTTTCCACTTACAGTTAGCCAATTTCGATTGAATTTATCATCAAAGCCGAACGTACATGTTTCGTATAATGTAACATGAATTTAATATGACTTATATTCTTTTAGAGAACTACTGTCAAGAATGAATGTACCAGGGGTGGTCCTACATGTATATTAGCAAAGTAGTGCAGCTATGTTGTTAGTTCGACCATGTAACTGTGTGTGAGAGCTCGGAGCTCCTGTAAGGCATAGTCTTCAGGCATGGGGAGTTTAGTGATGTGTGGGGCTAACTGGTGGGACGGCACAATGCACTCTCCATCCAACGTGGGAGCTTTGTTCTGAAACAAAAGCAGGGAAGATTTCATTCTGTGTACAAGACTACAATGTATAAGAAACAGATGAAGATCACCAAAAGACTACATTTTGTACTTATAAATCACAAAATTCACTCAAAGAGGGTCAAAGTTTCTCACCTGCCCTTCCAAGACTAGTCTCAGGAAGCTGGCTGCTTTCTTGGCCATTTCAGACTGGCATAATCTGAAAATGACAAGAGTTGTAGTCAATCGAAATTATGTTAAATCATGTTAACATTTTAAAAGATAGCTAGATGACAATTTAAGTTCATGGGTGGATAAGGCTGTGCAATATTACGCAAAGTATCTGTTGATACTAGTGAGCCTTCTACAAATTATTTCTTACGGAGAACACCATAGTTACCTTTCATTACACACTTAAAGACAGCTACATACTTCAAGTAAAACTTTAAGTACATACATTTACTTTGTAAAGACAGCTGTACATATACTTTAAGGAAACTTTAAGACATGTGTCCTACCTGTCCTTAGGTGTGAGACAGGGGATGTTCTCAATCCTACTACACAAGGAGGTCACCTGTGGATGGAGCCTCTCCAGGTCATAACTGCTCGAACCTCCCTGTACAAAACATAGGTTTGGATTAGTTCAAACAAACTTAGTCTTGCCCAAACAAAAGTCACTGTTCCAAAACTATATTCCACAATGACTGACAATGCTAAGTTTTTTGGTAACTAATCATGCGTTGCATCTGTCACAAAACGCTGGAAAAGGAGAACATAAAAATGAAGTCTACCACTGCAATACACAACATGCCGCCAGGAGACCAAAAATTTACTCATTTTGAGGTGTCATCAAGGCCTTCCCACCTATCAAGACAATCCATCAAAGCACTCTCAAGTTATCATGTCCATACACACACATACTAAATCCATTGTACCTTTGCCATTGCCAACAAAGCATTGTTAACATGGATGTAGTCCAGGAACACCCTTCCTCCAAAGTTCCAGTCCTGGATGGTCGAAGATCTTTCAGGGGGAGACAGCTCTTCTAGGAACTCTTCTAGGTACTCGTAATCTTCTGTACAAGGAAATAAAGGATTAAAAAATGACTTAAAACTACATGTAGAAACTTACAAAAAGAAAATGCGTAATGTTAACTTTCACATGGTCTACTCTAACTATTAAACTACTGCCCTGTTTATTCTTAATCATGTATATGGTGATGAGCCATCTAACTTGCTACATAATATAACCCCACACCACACCACAGCCTTATGTGTTTGGAGAAGAAACAGCAAAAACAATGTCTTTCTTCTGTAAAGTTCTCAAAGTTAAAACATAACCAAAGAACTAATTGATATTCCTAAAATCCCCATGTAGTGACGTACCATTGATGATAGCATCTGCTGCCAGGTGTTTCAGGACGATCCTGTGACTTGCATTCCACTTCCCGGCCTTTAACAGGTGCCAGGCCTCATCATGGGACTTGCCTTCATAGTGTGCTCTCAATGCCTACACCAACAAAAAATCACATACTTCAAACTTCCAGGAAGTAGAATCTGATATAGTTTGCATTAATGAATTATCATAGAGTGAATTATTACTCATAAAACTGTATGAGGGAACTTGATCATCTATTTTTCCTGACAACAGTATCCTTGACCATATCTACATGTATAATTTATCCCTGAACACTATCAATCAAGTGAAAACCTACCTCCGCCCACTGACCAAACATCCAACAAAAACTATGAAAAATCTGGGTTTTGTGCAGGCGCAGTACAATCTGCCGAGATGGCCTCTCTTGGCCTACAACTGATGTCTAGTACACAACACAAACCTTCAACACTGATTATACACAGTTAACCATTGAGACAAGCTCCTGACACCCACCTTTGCTTCATGTATCCACACAGCCGGCACTCTGAGTTTTTCCTGTAGGAACTGTTCTTTCTGTAAATATGCCTCCTCTTCTGACAGACTACAGTGTCTACAGAGCAGCTCTTTGGTTACAATCTCCCTCCTGTGGGGCAAAAGGATAAAACAATATTGTCAAACTTCATTTAGCCCAGAGGACTAGGATCTTTAACATGCTTAAGGACTAGGATCTTTAACATGCTTAAGGTGAGGCTCTCCTTAGACACAGAACTTCTGCTTTACGTCCTATCCAAGAGGATGTCCCTTACCGAAGCTAGGTTCTCTTTTGACTTGAGTCAAGTGCGGAAATAGGTGTTAAGTGCCTTTCCCAAGGTCACAACAATGGGGCTTGCCAGGGATTTGAACCCAGAACCTTTGGATTCTGAGTCAACAACTTTAACAACAAGACCACCTTGTGCCATTGATGCCCACGTACCTGGTGTTGTCAGCAAAGTGCAGTGCCACAAACACGGCCCACTCCCACAGGCCCAGAGACTCCAGCTGGGCGATGTAGCCGGCGTGGATAGTGTTCAGGTGGTGTTCAGACAGGTGTGTATAATCTAACGCCTGCAGCACCTGGCACACCAGCCAGCTGAAACAACAAGGCTCAGCAGTTAGGACAAATAAAACAAGGAAAAAACTGTGATTCCTACAGCAAAACAAAACCACTGCAAAAAGTACAAACATTTACAATATTTTCCAGACAAGAACTATCCTTCAGAACGAAGGAAAAACAATTAAACCATTGCAAGCAGGGCTTCTTGATGCACAAGTCATGTTTTCAGTGTAAGACTTATTGCGATACCTTCACAGGTGGCCTGGCTTACGGTTTGTCTTCTAAAATAAACAGGCAACCTGAAACCTAAGGAAACAAGAGTGTTTCGAATCCTGGCAGGTGTTTACCTGAGTCTGAAGTCGAGCTGGTTGGGTGTGGAGGTGGTGGGAGCCAGCAGGCGCTCTAGCTGGTGGGAGCGGTCGGCATACAGCTGCAGCAGGTGGTAGCACATGTCCCGGATCACATACCGATCCTCCTGCTGCTGATCACCCGACCGGTCCCCACTCCGCTCCAGGTACGGCGGCAGGGGAGGGTTCGCGTACTCTCCAAACTCAGAATTCTTCTGTTCAAAAATAAAAAATGTACACAACAAGAAAGGTTAATGCATAATGTTTACTTTCAAATGGTCTAGCCTAACAAACTACTGCTCTATTTAGTCTTCATCAAATACCTCCAACTGTCTTGCCACTTGCTACATAAAATCACCCAACACTACAGGATGTCTGCTACAGCACCATGGTTTATGTTTCATACCATGATTACACAGTATACATTCCTGGTGACCTCATACTACATTCTACCACCCATGGCATACCAGGTCATATCCTTGTTTATCCTCACTATTCAGGACAAGATACATACCAACTCCAACTAAACAGAATCAGCTACAGTGTTTTTAAGTGATAAATGCACACAGGCTTACCGTGAAGGCCTTGAAGTACAAAAGAAGAGCTTCAGGTACCGTGGCTGAAGGTGTGCACAAGTACCTGTTTATACACACAAGAAACAAATATATCAACTCTCCACAATCTACTATATCTGTATACTATTAGCATGTTTATAGTCTTATTTAGATTCACACCATTAGCTTTGTACATGTACAAATTATTGGCATATGTTGAAAAAATGGTACACTTTCAAGTCAAGTTTAACTGCATTGTTGACATGCTGTTGAGCTCACATTGGATGTGTACCAGTGGTACATCGCATCCAAACTGAGGTAAAAAAAAGTTAGCGTCCTGCAAGCTTTTAGTTTTACGTCATATACTAGTACAGTTTTCATTCAGACAGAGATGCTGGAGCTAGGTCTTTACCACAAGTGTACAGCCAGGGCACGTTTCCAGTCCAGGTTTTCGCAGGTGTTGATTTCCCCATTAGTGGCCGGCCAGACTGGCTTCCCTGCCAGTAGGGCGTACACTCTCAGTCTGGAGTCACTGATGTACCTGTCAGCCTGGTAAAATCACACAAAGAATAAATTAGAGATTTCATACTTTTGGGAAGTGTCTTGGGTTTTTGTGAGTGTATGTGGTGAGGATTGTATGATGTAACACTTCTCACTCTGCATGCAAATACCCTTCTACCAAATAGCCCTCCCCTTGTACATAGAGGGTTCTCAAACTGTAAAGAACACTTAGTTAGAAGAGTCTTTGGTTGGGCAAAAAACATCAACAGTTACTACAACATGTATAATAAAACTGCCGGTTGTTTTCAACTTTCAAACATTTTTTATAAATCTCAGTCAGAGCACAATGACTGCTAAACATCTAACTTACAAAATATATTAACAATTGGCTAATCGTACTACTCTATACATTACAACTTCACAAAAAAGTACCTTGAGTTCTTCCCAGTCACCGAGCTGCTTCCCTACAACTTCCCTGGGGAAATGGCTGCCACCAGCCTGGGCCAATAGCAGGGCTAGTCTGTGGTCACCTGACTGCTGAGCCAATGAGCAGGCTTGGCTGATCTGCCGCCCACTCAGAAGACTGAAGATAGCATCCGTGTGCCCACCCTCCTATTCAAGTCATCAAAAACATATAATATTAATAAAGTTAAATTTATAGAACTGTAGACCATGAGAATCTGCAAACCTCTACTGTATAAACAGTATGCAGAGCTATAAACCTCTTACTTTCACTAGATAGTTCTTCAAAGATCCTGACCTTGAATTTGGAGTCCTGTACTTCCTGTTGTATGGTCTCCTCAGCCTGGTTCATCAGCCAATGGGAGACGGCCTCTCTTCTGGCCATGTGGTACGCATAGCTGGTCCTGTCAAGGCCTGATGCAGCAACAAAATAAATTATATATTTCTTTCATGGAAAAGAGAAATTGGGGATTTCTAACCTGGAGGTAACAACAGATTATAAGGATCATCATTAGCTTGAGAGTATGTAAGAATATCAGCCCACCATTGTCGTCCTCCCTGTCCCTGTCAGGCAGGTCTCCCCACAGAGCCACACACAGACTCAGCACCAGACTAGCATGGTCAGCGGAGTCCCTCTCAGGGTGCCTCACACCCGTGTTCTCCCTGTTCCTGCCGGCCACCTCCGCGTGACGATGTAGGGCGGCGACCCCCGGGGTGGGGACGAACACGGGACAGGGGTGGTCCTCCGTCGAGCACAGGCTGGTCTCTAACTCCACCTCCAGGTGGGACACGTGGTTGGCCTTGGGAACACAGGAGAACATGTTAAAAATCAGCAAGAAAGGTTACAGCTGTTAATCATATGCATCATGTTATACTTCACATGGTCTAGCCTCACAGACTACTGCTGTTTATTCTTATTCAAACACAGGAGTAGGGGGGAAATAAGGTTTTTGCTGCATTCTAACTTCCAGCTTCCAAGAACTCTGCAGTACAGCAGATGTAGAAAAACACATGTGCGATGTTTTGATTTCACACAAGGAATAAAAACTTTACCGCTGTGACCTTGTTCTAGACGACAAAGTGTTGTCTATTCTTACTCATTCATATATATGGTGAAGAGTCGCTCCAACTCTGTCCTGTAACTTTGCTACATAATGTAATCCAAAATCAACCTTCCTCACCACTGTGACCTTGTCCTGTACGACAAAGTGTGGCGCCACGTCGACCCTCTCCATGATCACACTGAAGGGGGAGGCCGTACCAAGTTTGGCCAGGCGGGGGGTGGACTTAGGCAGGATGGAGAAGGGGATGCCAGTCTCCTTTTTCCTTTCTACAAAACACAAGACAACACACCATTGGAATTAATATTTACTATGTTATAGGCACCATATTCTTTGGTACCAATTTTACACCCGTGGGCTTAAGGATGTTTATGTTTCTCATGTGGTTTGATCAGGGCATTTTATGTTTCCTTGGATTTAAAAATAGCAGTTAATAGTGCATCAGATTACCATACTGTTATCTTCGTAAGCACATGTGGTTCTTGTTTTATGGTAAATAGTCTGCTATAGAATAAATACATTAGACTTGTTACATAGTACTGTTCACCAATTTGGCCTACATTGTACCCATTACATTTTTTTGCGCAATGAAGTTGATTGAATGATTTTTTGGTTACCTGAAACTTAGGACAGGTTTTATTTTGTGCTAACATCCATCAATGCTGTATTACACATACAGCATGTACATGCATTATGTAAACACAAAGGGTCAACTTCCTATCACATGTACCTGGTGCCTCCGCTTCTTTATCAGGCCCTGCACATCTCACAAGTGTCCAGTTTGGTCCCCATCCAACCTTGAACGACCGGCCCATCATGAGTGCAGCGTCGGCGACCAGACTCTGCTTCTCACTTGTCACAGTCTCCCTCCACGGCAGCAGCATCGGCTGGCGCTGGCTCCCCACGATCTTCCGCGGCCGCTCCAGCTCCGAGGTAAGTCCGCTCGGCAGGAGGAGGCCCTGGTTCCGCTCGAACATGGGGTACGGCGTGGGGCGGGACATGGAGGGAAACAGCCCGGACTGTTCCACCTTCGGGGAGAACTTGGGGGAGAAGCCTCCGCTTGGAATACGAGTTCTGGGGCTGTGTGAGGGAGACATTCCACCCAGACCCCGTACTGGGCTGCCTAAGGACCCGAGTCTGGCTGTGTGTGCGAGGAAGGATCCTGAAGATTGGATAAACAGATATTGATCAGACAGTAACAAATTCACCCCCCTCCAAAGAAAATTACACTTTTTCAAGGGAACTTTAAAACTCACAGTCAAACCTGCTCAAGGGGCCATCTCTTAAAACCATCCACATTTTCAGAATCCTTGAAATTTCTTTCTTTTTAAAGGCATGTTCAAGTGATCTGGCTAAGAAGGCCACCTATCCAAAAGGACCATTTATCTTGGCGTTGTACCTTTCATGAGATTTATTTATTATAATAATGGAAATTATACGTAAAGATGTTTTATTGGCAAAAAACAGTATATTGTGACAGCCTCACCTCTGTCCATTTTGGACTCTACCATCCTGTGAGGCAGGGGGGAGGCAGACCCAGATGGAGGGGCAGACCCACGGAGGGAACTTTTCCCACTCACGCCTCCAAATGTCGGTTTGTAATCTACAGACGACGACGGAAGCAAACATTGTAAATACTAGTAACAACAAGGAAAGATCCTTATGTCAACTGTTTTATTCTCTTTTCTGCTAAATTTACAACATTTTACATAATAGGTTTAGACTCTTGGCTAGTATTTTGATGACATCTATCGCAGCTTGTGTTACAGAGAAATTCTTAGTTTCTGTGACGGAATAAAAGAAATATTGCCAATATTATTGCGTAAACATAACGAAATATTATTTTTCACGTGTCCTAGATATCATTGTCAAAAATGCATTAACCATAAACATTAGCCAATGACGGTAAATAACACACAGGGCTTGAATTACTAGTACTTTTTTCTGCATACCTGCACTGGTGTAGGCAACACTCAAAATTAACTGCACTACAGTTTCTTTGCCTTCCAGTCCATCAAGAAATTGAAATGTTTTGAACAAAATGTCATTAGTAATACAGTAGCATCGTTTTTATTTTACTACGTTAAAGTTAAAATTGTAATGTTTTGAAAAAAAAATGTTCCTAGTAGCACCATTTTCAATTTTACTAAATTGCTGTCTTTAATAATGCTATTTTGAACAATGCAAGGCAGTTTTAATCACTGCTGGTTCTAACAGTGTCTGGGGTAGCTTCGTCAGGGCCCAGTGCAGGTTACATGCATCAGAAATATCTGCACAGATGGTATTTCAAGCCCTGACACACGACCACACGGAGACAATGCTCACCCATGCCCTCTCCTTCCTCCTCATCCCCGAAGAAGGAGGCCTTCATGACCTGCATGCGGTGAGCGCTCATCCCCAGGTGTGAGGCCAGACGGTGGGAGGACGGCACTACCTCCTCCTCAGACAGACCTTCCAGGGCATCCTGGTCACCTGAGGACACGGTATGCCCTTCTATTACTATTGCTTCACTTATTTAACAACAAATCATCACAGTGATAACAGATTAGTTTTAATTATGGGTTCACCACACCACGAAGTGGTGTGGTGAAACCATATTGCTTTTTCTGATGTTTCTTCTTCTTCTTCTCCTCCTTCTCCTCCTTCTCCTGCCATTTTTTAAATGGATTCAGCTTCTTCATTTTAGGGCCTAAGGTCCTGAAATTTGGTATGGAGGTACAGTGGGCAAATACCCCTAGGCGTTTTTTAAATTTTTGTGATACAGGCTTTTAGAATGGTTTTATTTGAGTTTTTTGGCTGTGTTATAGCACATGTATTACTGTGTTAGTGTGCCATGTTTACCACGTTTGGGTATGAGTCATCACTATGGAATGCAGGGCATCAACCAATAGGCATGCAGCTTTCCTCTATTCTTCTTGCTGATTGGCTGTTGGGATTTAACTTGATTAACAACTGCACAGTGCATTTCCACCTGCACAGAGCATTTCTTGCTGATTGGCTGTTGGGATTTAACTTGATTAACACCTGCACAGGGCATTTCCATACTGACAGTATGTCTGTATTCAAGTGTTTTGGTAGGTATTTCAAGCTTTCCTGCTCCAGCATTGGAATGCGGGCATGAACGTTATTTTTATTTTGAAAATCAACAGTTTGCATTATGCCATTAAAAATCCTAACCAATAAAGTAGGGAATAGCTATCCAACTGTTGTTTTAGTCGTATGTTAGTTCATATTATAGTTATATCAATGTAAATCATTGTTTTCCCTTGTGTTTCTCATTCTTTCCCTGCCATGTCGTAAAATGTGGTGAACCCATCGCTGTATTTGCTCCAAAGCAAATATTGGCCTTTCTAGTTATGTACATTTTAGATCAAGCATGTATCTGCACAAAGTTTACCAGAACAGTGAACTTTACTACACAAAAACTTCACATCATATTTGTTTTTATAATGTACATATATGTCCAAGATGTCATTTGTATTTCCCTTGTGTTTTGTAAGATATTGTACAGTGTATAGCTGTCATGTACTACTTGTTAATAAACCATTCATTCATTGCAACCTGGCTTTAGGGCAATTGCATTGCTACTCATTTTATCATTGAAAGCGGTACAAGTTGTATTTCTTCTCAATGTGTTCTGAAAGTGGTACAAGTTTTTTGAGTCTTTATTTCCTCTCTATGTGTATTAAAAGTGAGACAAGTTATATTTCCTCTGTACAAGTTATATTTCCTACGTATTGAAAGTGGTTTGAGTCAGGTGTCTTTGAGTTAGTTTTTCTTTATGAAAATTGCTGCATGTCACTCCTCCTACCAGAGCTGTTAGGAGCCAGCTCAGGGATTGGCTCCTGGCTGATGTCAGCCATGTCGCTGTCATCCTGCATCTGCTCCATGATTGGCTGCTCAGACTTCACCCTCTCTGTGATTGGTGGCTGGCCGTTTAAACTGGGAGGCTGGTTCTCTTTCTGCTGCTGCTGTTTCTGCATTCAGAAAACATCTCATGTATTAGACAAGTTAGCAAAACTGTGATACCTAACATAAAGAACAAGTAAGGCAAAATTACCTACTCAACTACAGAAGCATGTACATTGGCTCTTGAACAAGAATATAATTGAATGGGGAACAATATAAATTACACTTTCTTGAGATGAACACACCTGAAGATCTCCTTGTTGCTGCATCTTCATTTTCTTCTGGTCCTGACCTACAATCTCCTCTTCATCTTCACTGTCATCCAGGCCATATTTGGAGAAGTGAGGCACCTACATGAACAGGTGGTAAGAAATTTAATTTGTGAAATTTCCGTGTGTCCTCTTAACGCAAGATCATGCATTTTGTGTTTCTATTGTATTGCAAAAACATTCTTTTCCCTCAGAGCGTGAAAATAAAACCAATGTGAAAGATGGTGTAACAAGAGTCTGAAAACCCACCTGGAAGACCCAGGAGCCAGTGTCTGGTCGGTACTCCAGGAACCTTGCACCGATCTTGGATGTGGCAACCTCAATCTTCTCCTGGTAACCCATCTTCTTCAGGCGCTCTGGACTCTGAGGTAACACATCAGTCAATCTTACAAGTCATGAAAAGCATGGTCAAGCTGGACATTGCAGAGATGGGTTGTGGATGGACAGCAACATATAAGAAGAATGTGGAAGACATTACCAAGCACTTAAATGTGGCAAGGTATAAGTTTGAAGGTTGAAAGGTTAAAGACATGTCCTGACCTTGATGGGAATATGGGCTGTCTTGTCCATGGGCCAGGTACAGTGCAGGGTGACCTCTGCCTTCTTGTTCAAACCCTCGCCTTCTGGGGGCTTAGTGGAGTCATCTGGGTACACGGTAATCTCCTTCCTTCTGATGTGAACTATGGAAAAAAAGTAAAAAATAAATCTCAACACTTGTGTGGCAAGGTGGTCTTGTGGTTAGGGTTGTTGACTCATTGTGTGAAGGTTGAAATCCCTGGCAGGCCCCATTGTTGTGCCCTTGGGAAAGGCATTTTAAACCTATTTCCTCATTCAAATCAGGTAAAATGGTTTTGGATGTCCTCTTGGATAGGATATAAAGCTGATGATTGAATGTTTGAGGAGAGCCACACATCAAGCATGTTAAACTTTAAGATAAGAATTCACTACACTTAAAAAGAGGTTCAAACCTTACAGACCAGTCTAATGCAGCTTGTACTTACTGTACAAAACTGGTACGTTATAGTTTGATGGTTATGTGAGACAAACAATTTCACATGTTTTAAAAGATGTTATTTACCAGTTTCATCCAGGTTAAGGTTGGCAACATTAGTTAGCCCTGGGAAGAAGACCGAGCCATAACCCTCTCGGCCAACAACAAAGTTCTCCACCCAGCAGTCGCCGTTCTCGTCCACCATGTTGGCCAGCTCATCCAGGGACGGCTCCGTGTAGTACTCATTCTTTGTCAGGACGATGCCTGCAAAACAAGAAATTAGGGATTTAAAACAAATATTCTAGCCAGCATCCCTCTTTCTGTCATTTGCCGGAATTTTTCTGCTCATGACAGATAAAACTCTTGTTCAATCCATCATCTTTCATGGACAAAGATTGGCACATAAAGATATAGAAATAGATGTCATTAAACTTTACATTTATAGAGTTTCAGACGGTAAACTATGATATTCCACCCACCAGCAGGGTGTGGTTCTCTCTCCACCTCCTCCTCTGCCTGGTCATCACTCGTCGGCGCCCCCATGCTGTCCTCGCCGGGACTGCAGCTCCTCTGCCGCAGGTTCAGAGCTATGATGCTGTCGTCAGGAGCTGGGGAGGACCTGTCAAAATTGAGAAGCATATTCTTAGATAAGTAATAAGATAAGGTCATTTCTTCTTCTTACTTGTGAAAGTCAAAATGTTGTAGTAACTTGTACATCTCAATAAATAGGATTGTTGGCTTTTTTACAAGAAGGGGGAGGAGAAGAGAAGACCCACTTGTTGGCAGGAGTTTCAGGGATGGGTTCCTGACAGGGTTGGAGTACAGGTTCTCCATAGGGTCATTCTCCTTCTCACTCTCACTGTGAAGAAACATTTATCAATCCATCATTACAGTTCAAACTCAAGGAATCACAAGAAGTAACAGTACCAGATGTAACACATACAGCTCAGGGCTCGAAATACTGGGTTTAAACACTGCCTTGCATTCTTCAAAGAAGCACCCTTCTTGACAGCAAAGAACTTAGTAGAATTAAAAATGGTGTTACTAGGAACATTTTAAAAAACATATCGATTTTTTTATTAACAGAAAGGAGAAGAAACTGTGGTACAGATAAAATTCCCCCCCTGGTTATGTGCACCAGTACATCTACTTTCAAGAGTGAATTTTGAGCCCTGTAAGTGTAATGGCATCCAAATCAAGACAGAATGGTGAAATCTCTCCTACCTTGTCCTTTTGTCCTCCACCAGGAATGTGTCTGAAGGGTAGGCGGGAGGAGCCAGTAGGTCATCCTCTTCTCCTGCATCAATTTCACTTGCCGTCTAAAATAAAAAACAAAAGTCAGAGATTTCAGTAGTAATACAACAAGGTGGCACGGAGTCACAGTTTAGACTTCTGCGAAAGTTTCTCTATTAACAGTACATGGGCCTGATTCTTCTACATGCAGTACTACTTACGGGAGATGCCTTGTTCTTGATGATGAGTTTCTTCACACTCCTTCTGGGCACAAACGTGTCATTGCTGAGGGAGGTGTCATCGTCATCGAGGCCTTCAAACAGTTGGGACTGAAAAATAAAACTAGAAATGTACCATTTGCAAGACAAATGCACAAGAAAACAGTTATCCAAGCAACTGGATAGATTGTACATGCAAAATTTTTTACCTTCACATGGTCTTGCCTCACTAACTGCTGCTCTTTTTATTCTTACTAAACCACCAGGGCTAAAACACATTCATGTATATGGTGACCAGCCCCTCCAACTCTGTCCTACTGGTTTCAGAGGAAGAAACGGAGCAAAACCAATAGTATTTCCTTCTGCGATCAATGAGATGTCGCTAAATGCTTACCTTTCCTGCTGTCAGTGAATGTAGTGGTTTGGGCTTGATCTTGGCAGTTGGCCGTGTGGAGATCTTGTAGTGGGAGGGAGTGGTCAGGGCCTTCTGTGCAGCCAGACTGGTGGGCTTCAGCAACTCTGCTCGCTTGGCTGGATCCTGCAGACATTTCAACAATGTTAACCATTATCCCATCAACTTTTAATAGGAACATGATTGAAGGGAAACTATCTAGAACCAAGACTGAAGTTGTACAATAAAAAATTTGGGTAAGTCTAATTTCTTGCATTGTAAATTACAGTTCAAACTTGCTTCATACATAATGACTTCTAACCTACACAGATGAACTTTAAAGATTAATACTCACAGCCACATTGTTTCTGAAGAGTGGTGAGTCCCCGAATGGAGAGTTGGCCAGGGCCTGTAGCTGCTGCTGAATCTGGGCCTGCTGGGCCAGCTGGGCTGCTGCATCCGTACTGGAACCAAACACAGGGTTTGTTGCTTACTTACATTTATACAATAAAATAAAGAACTGTTCAACTGTTACAAATTTTAGCAGTACCGGTAGCAAACTTAACACTTACCCCAGTGCAGCTGATGGTTGGGTAAGGTTCAGTCCAGTTGTTCCTGTATTTAGTCCAGTGCCCAAACCTGATACAATCAAGGCAGGCGTGATTTGATTAAGAGCTTCAAATTCAGTACATGCAAGACATTTATTAATTCAAACAAACAAAACAACCAAATAAATATTCTGATAAAAAGTATACTTTGGAACTACAGTGGAGTGAGATGAAAAGTATGACACACTGCAGCATAATAAGGACAAGTTTAAAGAGTGTACCAGTGTTTCCAAATATTGAAGCAGTCCCTAGCCCAGCTCCCAGGCCCGTCCCGAGGCCAGCACCAAATGTGTTGGCAGGCTTCTGCCCAAACAGGGAGGTTCCTGTGGAGGTTGTGGTTGTGCCAAAGCCTCCTGTCCCAAACCCTCCTGTGAGTCCTGTTCCTGTACAAGGTTGAGACACAGACTTCCTCATTAGAATAGATTAAAATTTAATCATTAACTCTGTAAAGAATTGCTTTTTGGGACGTGGCAAAAAAAAATGTATCCAACCAAATGTAGAAATTTTTGCAGTGCTTTTGTTTTGCAGTTGGAGGGAAAATGAGGTTATTGAAGTGTAACCGATGTTTGAAGTTTATATTTAAAAGACAATACTATTCTGCAAATTAAAATAAAACCACCGCATAATAATGTTTCTGCATTTCCAGAATACAAGCTAGACTCCCATGACTCCCAAAGTGAGATCCCACAGACATTTCCACAACACTACAACTTATGTTGCCATTAAACTGAATGACAATGACATGACTGCCAATACAGAATCTTCAAGAAGACACAAGTACCATTATGCACATCCAGACTACAAGGATATCATTGAGAAAGAAGGGTTCTTACCCAGACCTAAAGTTAGGCCAGGTTTGTTTTGACCAAAGAGCCCGCCAGTGTTGGTTGCAGTGTTACCAAATAGTCCTCCAGTTGTACTGGTGGTAGTGGTTGCTCCAAAGGTTGGAGCTTTGTTGGTTCCAAACAAACCACCCTGAAATATTAGACAATACACTATTAGCCACAAATACTGGTACAGCCAAACATGTACAGTTACCACCTCTACATAACGACTACCTAGCTAGTGTGACCATTTGTTGGTGGTAGCATTGACACAATCTTTCTGATTGTCCACATGGACTAGATATTAGTGGTCCTCTGAGTGCAGTTTTTATGGTATATTCTGTTTTAAAACACCTGAAATGTTGAGAAGATTGCTGTGCAACAAAATAAAACAAAATAATCCTTAACTATGCAGTATGCAAGAAAAAGGAAAATGCTGCCAAAGGAAAATGGACTGATTTGAATTTGTGTCAGACTTACAGACTGGTTTTGCGTGCCGAATGCTGTGGTGCCGAATGTCCCGGTGCCAAAGCCAGTTGTTGTTGTTGTGCTGGGCGTTCCAAACAGTCCAGTAGTCTGGGTGGTGGGCTGACCAAACAGCCCCGTCTACAACAAAGGAAATAAAGATAACATCAGATGAACTTTCATGCTAACATCAGGCTAGTAACATCAAATTTGCCGTATTCCTTAAAAGAAGGTAATGTCTTTCCCATGTCATAAGGTGTATAGAGCAGCACCAATCTCCCTTTTTTTAGCCCTTGGGCCAAGCAGCTATGCATCGTTTTTAAAGCAATTTTTTTTCTTTTCGAGTTTCAGATTTTTTATATTTCCACCTACCTTCTGTTGAGTCTGCCCAAACAGCCCAGTCCCTGTGTTAGCCTGTCCAAAGCTGAAGCCCGTGCTGGCCGTGGTAGTGGTGGCAGTGCCCCCAAAAGGGGAGGCAAAAAGGCCCCCAGCCTGGGTTGTCTGGGTCTGTCCAAAGAGGCCGGTGCCTGTTGAGGGCGTACCAAATCCTGTAGCACCTGTGAAAAAGATGACATTGTTAAGACTAATGTTTCCCGTAACAATAAAGTCTGTGATTTTCCTGAACTTGTAGAAATTTTAGAAATTTATTTAAAAAGACTTGAACCCTGTACTGTATGAAACAATGGTTTCTATCACTTAAAAAAAATAAAAAATTTCAGGATGGAAAGGATGACATCCTGTCTATAGTTTTCAAATGTTGTGTCAGTAGAGATGTCGTCTGCAATGGGCATTGACCAACATCAAAAGAAAACCATGAAAAACCCGGGTTTCACACAGGCACAGTACGTTCTGCCGACGTGCTACAATGTATCTCCCTCCAGCAAAAGCAACCACTCTATCCCTAAGTTACCTGTGAACCAAACACTATATTACAAGTCACTTTTGCACACCCGGAGAGTACAAAGCATCACCTTTAGCTTGAGTCTGACCTGTACCGAAGGCAGGTTTGCCAAAGGTAAAGCCAGTGGAACTGGTGGTGGTGGTGGTCCCGAACAGGCCGCCTCCGGTCTGCGGCGTGGCGGTCGCTCCGAACAGCCCGGTCGCCCCAGTCGAGCCGCCTTTACGATTGGCCAGGTAGTCCTCAACACGGAGTTCCTGTGGACAGAGAGAGGTTCGTACTTACTGTGTCACATGATGAAGCAGTGTAGGTACATGTAACATTGGGACTGGAACATGTACTGGGTTTATATACATTAACTGGGTTTATATACACTAACTGTCATCACCTATGAAATATAATAGAAATAGTGCCAATGGTTTCTGAACAGTTTTTTGTACAATCTATACTTTCTAAATTCTGAGTGGTGCACCATGAAGATAAAATTTCTCTGGAGCAGGTTATGCTTTCTTCTATTACTCAGTATCAGTAAGTATACCTATAAGTATAAGGAAGCAGCAAGGAAGCAGCACGTAAGACTAACAAACCTCCAAGCTCTTGGTCTCGTACTCCTTCATGGCTGTGATACACTGGTGCGCCGTGCGGATATTCTGGGAGACTCCATTCTTCATCATGGTGTCACTGCCAGACACAGGCTGGGGATATACAAGAACAAGAAGTCAAGAACTTCACACCTTGTATAGTTAAGGCCATACAAGTATGATCTTCATGGTTTTCTGGAGACTCAACTTTGACATAAAAGAGCAAAGAGAAGTAAATACAAACAAACAACTTCTACTCACGTTAAACTTCACAGTGGTACCATTTGTCCCACCTCCAATGCTTCCAACTGGAAAAAACACATTGTTATTTGCTGTCAATTATAACATGAAAAGGCTATGACATAGCTAGGCTAAACCAAACAACTGACATATAATAATGTTGGACAACACTTTGTACTTCAGTGAATTTTTCATTCAGTTTAGACTGTATGACAGCATTCTTATACGATATATAAGGCAATGCAAGCCTTCTTCACAAGGCAGCATTAGGCAAAACATGACTATAAGTATAAAGGGTTTCTTAGAATTCTGTAATATACATAAACACATGTGTACTGTTCTGACCTCCACCAAACAGTCCTGTACTGGTGGTCTGTCCTCCTCCAAACAGACTGGGCGTCTGCTGGGTGCCTCCAAACAGGCCTGTACCAGTGGCAGCAGTAGAGGTCTGGGTTCCAAACCCTGAAAACAAAAAATGGTATGGTCAAATGAGTCCTTTATGAAATATTGGGGTAGCACATAATGCAATATATTACATTACAAGTCCTGAGGCTGTCAAAAGAAGAAGAGATGATTCTTAACTGGCTGGTATCTGTTGATGGCTAAAAAAAATCATGCTGTTGTTGTAAATATTTAGAACTGTCAAAAACAACAAGTAAAACTCTGCTACAAAGTCATTGTGATGCACTTCAAAATACCGACCTCCAAATCCTGTCTTGTTAGCTGCCCCAAATGGTGCAGTCTGCTGCTGAGGGGTGGCGAACAGTCCCGTACCGGCCGTACTCGTAGATGTACCAAACAGCCCTCCTCCAGTCTGTGTGGTGCTCGTACCAAACCCTCCGAAGGTAGACGTCGACGTGGCCGGCGTGCCAAAGCTCGTGCCTCCAAAGAGCCCAGTCCCGGTGTTTGCAGTGGAGCCTCCGAAAAGTCCTCCGGTGGCCGGCGTCTGGGTGGCCCCGAAGCTACTGGTGCCAAACGCACCTGTGCCTGCAGTTTTAGCAGCACCAAAAGGTTTTGTAGCTGTGCCTAAACATGCGGAGAAACGGGTCACTTCTGTCCAGCAAGCATATTTGAACACCGCGGTCGGCACTGTTTCATACATGCATGCAATATGTCACCCAATGCAATGCCAACCTATATAACGCAAAGCCAAGAAAAACTGAAAAATGCACTAACAAATTAAACAACATTTTCAGACTCTTTCATGAAGACTTTTCAATAGAATCAACATATAAAACAAAGAGGGGTTGAGCAATATTTTCTGTTTGCCAAATTCAAGTTAGGAATAGCAACAGTGATTGATTTATTGCTTGCTGGAATCAAAAGCTCCCATAAATTAACCTTCTCCCTGCCATGTACTGTTACAGTACTAATCCACACAGTGGATGCAGTCTGTACATGCACGTAGCTTAGCTGGGAGAGGGTTAACATTTTTGAGACTATAGATTTGATCCTGCAAATAATTTCAATCCCAATGCCAGTTCATTTAGCGAAGCAACAAATACAAGACATCCTTGCAAGACATACACTTGTAATAATACCTTTCCCAGCTTTCCAAACCAGATTTTTATTCAGACCATTACTATTCAGGATGTCTATATTGAAACACATAAATCTATCTTGACTTATCTAAAACATGCAAGACATGCTCAGCTGACAAGCCCAACTATTCCTGCAGTCTCTGTAAAAACTGTTGTTACTCGGTAGATCTTCCATTACATAAAGCAGACACATACCGAATCCAGTTGTTCCTCCAAAAGGAGTCTTCTGTGCACCAAACATCTTGAGACTCTGTGAGCTGTTCGGTGCTCAATGTCTCAAAGGGGGTCTTCTGCTGTCAATCTCTCAACTCTTGTTTAGCGTTGCTATCAATTCCTCTTCAGCCAACCTATGAACATGAAACAAGCATAAAACATTTTGGAGTCAATAAACATGACATGCAAAACTGCAACAGAGCTTCAGCATGAGACCAGCCATTCTCTTTTCTGAATTTGTCTAAAATGAGTAAACAATTGAAAACAACCGAAAACTTTTAAAACATCTGTATCAAAAGAGAATATCCAGTTTTAAACATGTAACGTTACATGCACTATGCATGATGCTGCATCTGCTTATCTAGCTACAGCTGCACAGTACAGAATAACAGAACTTCAAATGGAATGACTGTCGCCACCAAGTCTGATGCAAGTCCAAACATGCACATGACTCAAAAGCCCTTTTCAGCCTATATTAGTATATAGCTGTACTGTAGCCTGGGCACTGACACCCCTCAGTTAGACCCAGAGCTCGGGTCAATATTGGGGCTGACCTGTGTACTAGCCCTGACAAAGTCACGAGGCTAAGTCCTTAGCACCTTTGGTCTCTGTACCACATGGATTATTTCTCTCAGTGATACCCCAGTAGGGGTGGTTAGAGAGTACTGAAGAAGAAGAAGAAGAAGGATCTGTATTCTGCATGCTACAAACCTCCCTGGATAAAGGCATGAGCAGAGGTGCAAGAACTATGGCTGTTGGCCATGCAGCAAGTACCACCACATACACAAAACATAACACTCCCATGGTTGTACAAGATTATATAGTTAGACATATGCCGTATGCTGCAAACCGTGGATAGGGACCTGAGCAGAGATGCAAGAACAGGATGCTACATTGTCACACAAAACATACTCCTGTCTGAACACCCATGGTTGTACAAAATTATGGTTGTACAAAAATTAATAAATGTAGTTGCAGTTTTGCACATACAAACCCAATGCTCACCAGAGTAGGAGTCAGCAGGTAAGTGTTGGTAAACAAACCTTGCGCCCCTTTATAGACAGACATATGATATCCTGTTTCAACTGCTTCCATCTGGTTTCTGGGCAATCCCCTTGGTAAGTGTATGGCCATTTTCTTGGGAATTCCCCAGAAACCAGTCTCAACCGGTTCAAGCCTAAAAAAATTCCATTTACAAAATGGCTTACACTAAAATTATGGGGGATTCCCTACATTTGACAAACTGTCGGCGGATGGCGATATTAAAACCATATCACAAAGTCACCACCACAATTATCGATGCATAATATGAAACAGGTTGTATCAAGTGAGGTACTAGATGCAAGTGAAACATCAAGGGGGAGGGGGGCGACATATACGACTTCGTACATTCGCTCAAATCTACCCACTCGTGCTGTATAGAATCTAAAGTACGACATATCTATAGACATAGGCTTCTGGGGAAACCTTCGACACAGCTGTGTGTATAGAGAATGGACATTACGTCAAGAAACAGAACTTGTTTGAACCAGTTTTGGATCCGTACCGCCATTTTTGATCGCATGACGTATGGGGATTTCCCGCGCACCTACGCCACAATTTTTTCTTATTTCCTGACCAAAAATCAAAGAAAGCTTACCTGTTTGGCTAATTTTAAGACTCAGTAGAAATGCTGAAGGGCTGCTACATGTTGAATAGCTGTCCTGTCGAGTCGAAATCCCGCAAGTCGTGAGTTTTTGTGGTAAAACTTTACTGCGTCCTCGTGAACGCTTGCACAGCCTCGCTGTGACTCTGATGAGGGAACTAGTCTCGTACCCAGGATCATTAGGGTGGATTGAATGCATGGTACTCTGGGAACGAGATTCAAGCGGATGTTGGAAAAGTATAAACCTCCTTGGTTTCACATCTCTCGTGTCTCCACATCGGTTTCTCTTCTCCATCGCGCTCAGGGGTGCCAGAGTATACAGTGCAATTTTACGGAATACAGCGCAATTTTACTAGTATACAGTGAAATTTTACGGAATACAGTACAATCGTATTTTATTACGATTGTATTGTATTCCGTAAAAAACAGTGCAATTTTACGGAATGACAAACAAAACGTCAAAATCAGTGGAAAATTTCTGGGAACCCCAAAACTGATGCGAGCAAGGAGTCACTCTATTATTAAAGCTCCTTGATGCGAGTGTGCAAATAAAAAAGAGTTTGGCCAAAAAAAGTTGCCTTCATTATGAAATCTACGTGGTCATGGAGGTTGAACAATCTTTTATTGGCATGGTGAATAATAGACTCTTCATTTTCATTCCTTCCCGATTTTATTCTTGTCCTTTGGAATGGATTTTGGCATTCTGCGACATAAGTACCGTTTTCCAATGATTTCTTTTTTTCAATTTACAGCATATATTTGCTCATTTTGCAGCTGCTTTGTACGACTTACAGTATACTATGGTCGAAAACTTTTTTTGGAAACGGACGAAAGTTCATGCGCGCGTGGATGTCATCCATATAATCAAATCAACATGGCCTTTCATTATCATTGAAGTTGGCCCAAGGAGGCGGTGCTTCTTGGTCGTGTTTAATACAACTTAAATCTATACATGTATGCACAAATGGTTTATTTCAATAAATTCTCAGACTATATGTATACTAGTACATAATATACACGTATATTTACTCTACCCGTCACCGTGTACTATGCTCATAGTACCTTACAATCAAAAGCGCTTTACACTAAAACGTACGTCGTAAGTAATGATTTAGAGTTTATTCCAAACCAAACATACAGAAATCGATAATAAGTCTAGCGCTTTCTCTTTATCTATGTACAATAAACGTACGTGCATCAATGTGAAGCTAAACGTCCTTATAACATCGATTCATAGATAAATTGTGATACATATTGTACCATAGCTAAGACAAGGCGTGAAAGCTATCATTAAATCCCCTGTCAAACGTATCACACACTATTTCATACACAGTTATATTGGATCCATTGATCACAGCAAACTGTCGGCTACCTGTACTGCAGACCGACTTCAGCATACTAAAGTCAACGGTGTCAATCAAGACTCGGCTCCGCCCACTTTCACAGTCAAACACCTGAACCTGCTTGTTGCCGATATCGTCTGCCACCACGACTAGCTGAGTGTTACGAAGTGAAGTTATCCCTATGGGTCCTGACTGTCTCTCTATGTCCTCCATTTGAAGTTTTCGTAAGTATACACCGTCGTTTGAAATCACCTTGACGCAGTGGTTCATATAGTCCGTGACGACCAGCTCTCCGTCTGGAAGAAAGTCGGCCCTGTGCGGGTACTGGAGGTTTGAGTCTCCCCTGACCTTTGTCCCGAATGTCCAAACAATGGACCCGTGCAGTAAGTGGATCGATACTTATTGCTGGCTGACGTCTGTCACCACAGTCCGACATTCTCCATGTGTGTAACGTGCCAGGCCCCAAGGTTTCTCGAAAAAGTCCTGTCCAATGGTGTTGACTAGGCGGCCTGTTGTACCGTACACTTTGACCACGGCGTCACTAACGTTTCTGTCGGTCACGTACAGGTGGCCCCTCCCTGCGTCAAGGGCGATTCCAGACGGCGTCAACGACCTCTTACCTTGATGCATGTAGCTTGACTTGTCTAAATTTGTACAAAAAAGCACGAAATACTAGCATTGTAAACAAGAGGCACTTCTTGTTTGTACAAACTCACATAGAGTAATTGGGAATATAACAACTCACTTCAAACGAATCACAACCAAATATATAGTGAGGAAGTAGGGGCTTTGAATACAATGTTACAGCTGCTGAGCTCGGAGACTACCACTTTACTGACCCTTTGCATGTTTGGGCAAGCCAAATCATTACCCGACTACATAGACATGGTACGAATGTTTGTTTGCCCCGAAGTTACATAGTGCTCTGAATTCCGTGACAGGTAAATGTCACAGCCAGTGGTACCCGAATTGATATAATCTGTTACGTACAACTAATATAACCGGTCCAGGTCACCCTGTACTACAAGGAGACCAGCTCTAGACGGACGTCATTGAGGTAAGTTTACGCCTGGCAATCTTTAAGGTCAGTCTCAAGTTAGGGTTTCTTTGGCATATAAAGCATTAAAGACAGCTTGAGTGTAAACGTGAATGCTGTATCTTGCAAACCTGTTTAGAAAAAGAAAGGTCGGATAGGGTGTTCGATTCATAAACAAAATGGTGGTTCACGGTGGCTGTGACGTGGTAGCAGTGAAATGAAAAAGGGGTGTAATACCTAAATATGGTACGTTATTACCTTCGGATACGGAGGTATTGTTGTCAGTGTGTTTGTTTAATTGTGTGTGTGTGTGTGTGTATTGTCTCTCTCTCTCTCACTTTCTGTGTGTGTGTGTTTCTCTCTCACTCTCTCTCTCTGTTGTCTCTCTCTCTGTGTCTCTCTCTCACTCACTCACTCACTCTGTGTGTTTGTGTGTGTGTGTGTGTGTGTGTGTGTGTGTGTTTGTGTTCTCTCTCTCTCTCTCTCTCTCTCTGTGTTCTCTCTATCTCTCTCTCGCTCTCGCTCTCTCTCTCTCTCTGTGTGTGTGTGTGTGTGTACATTTAGTCTTTTGGCCTACATGAATCCAAGATACCGTGCCGGAGGGCATCATGGCTGGTGATACCATATAACGGTAAACATTCTGCTTGCAAATATTACCCTCTTTTTCAAAAATTATTTAGTCAGAGGATTATCCTGACTTTCATATGCACTGCAGTTGAGAACGATTTCGGCCCAGTCTGCGAACCGGAGGGCATGAAGGTGTATCGTGGAACACTGGTGCACGCCACCAAGGAAAACCCCATGGAGATCCTCAGGAATGGGGTCATTGGGGTCGACACATCTGGGAAGGTAAGTCGGCCATCAGTGAAGTATTTACTTCTATCATGAATATAGGAACAGTCATATCATAACAATCTAGTCATAGCATGTGTGTGCTGCTTTTTTCTTATATGGCACTGGTTTGGATTTATTTTAGATTCTGTTTGTGAAAGACGATGACTCTATTGAGAACCTTGCTGTGGAGATTGGCTTCAATCCATCTGTGCACAACCTGACTAACAGGTAATTTTATAGGCCATTTCACATTTTTAGATTGTACTTGATATCGTCGTAGTTTAAAAATATATAGCATAACGTTATGACCCATGTTTTACATTCTACCGATAGCCGTCGTTTAGCGTTGTTTGTGTTTTTTTATGTAAATCAACAAAGATAGCTGTTGAAGAAACTCACCATGAATTTTCAGTCGATCTCGTCGACCCCCATAACATGACTACGCTAACTTTCCGGAAGCGCGATGACGTCAGAAGTGAATCAAAAGAGGCGGGACGGCTTCATGGAGGAGCGAAATTGCCTATTTCTAGTTTCATGTCAGTTTATTTATTTATGTACTCTATGTTGTTGTATTGCAGCCAGTTCATCATCCCTGGTTTCATCGACACGCACATCCACGCGCCCCAGTACCCCAACACGGGCACCAAAATGGACCTCCCGCTGTTAGAGTGGCTTCTCGCCTACACCTTCCCGCTGGAGGCAAAGTACAGCGACCTGGACTTCGCACGGGATGTCTACAAGAAAGTCGTGGTAAGATCCTGGCTTTATCCCAAAACGTTTTGCTAGGCGTTCTACAGAGAGCGTTGGGCGTCCTAAAATGTTAACAAATCCGTAAACGATGTTTCATGGATCCAATGTTCTAAAATGATTTCTGGCAACTTTTTTTTGCCAAACCTTTTTTTCATTCGTACGCTCGCATCTTTTGGGATTCCCTGAGGATTTCATCCATATATCCATATAATCTAATCAACATTTCCTTACTTTCATGTTATATTTACCTGTAATTAGCCTCCAGGCAATAAAACTTTACATAATCCATTGTCTGGTCCCAGCGTTGACTAGAGACGCTGATTAGGTCTGTCCTTGGTGCTGAACTCATCTGACATCGATTAGGTCTCCCTCTTATCATTGTGAAAGGGCGGGTCTGTATCCTTTGAAGACTTTCCCAAAAGCTTGTTCTTTTTCCTTGTAGCAAAAAACGCTGTCGTGTGGCACCACAACTGCCAGTTACTTTGCGACAACCCACAAGGGGGCATCCATGGCTCTGTGTGACGCTGCGGGTAAGAAAGAGCTTCATGTTTCAATCAAAATATAAGGCATTCAAACAGAAATATAACTGTTCACGGAATTAACGTAAGTGTTCCGAGTTTCACAAGATTGAATCTTGTTCCTAAACGTTATGTTGTGTCTTGTCTTAAACGTGTGGTTTTGTATTGATGCACCTTTAGAGTCTTGCGGCCAGAGGGCGCATATAGGGAAGTGCAACATTGACCAGAACCTTCCGGAACAGTATTGTGAGGAGACAGACGCGTCACTGAGGGACACAGAGGAGTGAGTCTCCTCATACCCATGTACACTTCAAATTTGAACCTGGAAAAACAGTATGAATTTATAAAATCAAGTTGACTTGTACTCCGGGAATCTTTCGTGGATATGAGCACGAGAACATAAAAGCATTACTTGCTCAGATTATGTACTCATGCAACGTAACAGTCACCTAAGTGTTTGTCATTTCAGATTCATCAATGAGGTTCTTAGCAGAAAGGTACGCCTTATTCTTCTTGTTTGTGTTGCTTAGCGTTATACATTGCCAAACATTGAAATATTTTAATTCACGAAATAATGTGTGATTGTGATTTACTTCCACTTTTCAACATATAGGCAGTGGAGCGGGGTTGATTCAACTTATTTTATAAAGCGAAAAAATTTACTCAATGTATCGTCATGATGTTACAGAATTCATCTTTAAGGTTTGACGACCACCTACAGATGTTTCACACGTGATTTTTGCAGAACCCCCTGATCACGCCGGCCATCACGCCCAGGTGGGCCGGCTGCTGTACCCCGGAGCTGATGTGTGGACTGGGAAAACTGGCCCAGAAGTACGACCTGCCCATACAGGTCAGAACAAGAAGATAGCCTTTGTAGTGGCCCCATGTTTGATTAGTCTCCACCAGACTCCAGACCTGCAAGAAAAGTGGACCCTCTCTGGCCGGCTAACTCTCCTGGCCAATTATATCCCTTTTATTTTCTTACGCCGATTTCTACTATTTATTCAGGGATAGAGATTAGTGTTTGAAGACAACTAGACAACGAACAGTTGCCAAAGAACCCATCAAAGTTACATGTAATGGTTGTAAGATTGGTTGTAAGAAACAAACAAAAATTGCTAACAATCCTGTGCATTCCTGACTTGTCAGTTTTCATGCCCTGTCCTTCAGAGTCACATGTGTGAGAGCCCTGCAGAGGTAAAGTTCGTGACCGAGCTGTTTCCACAGTATGACTGTTTTACGGACGTCTACGACAAGTGTGGCATCTTCACCAACAAGGCCAGTATATCAGATTTCCAGCCATCTATACGTGCTTTAAGTTTTTCTTTTACTGTTATCCAGCAAAAGAAATGGTTCGAAAAATGTTCGACCAGCTCCTTCACAAGGAATGTGACCTACTTTCCTGACGCGCACTGCTCTTCGGGATGCGTGACGTCAGGAGCAGGTCAAAGGTCGATAGAAGTCGATACCGGCCGACGTCCCGTGTCAATGTGGGTTGATTAGCGTACTTACTGTGTGTTGTGTATGCTCCAACAGACCGTCATGGCGCACTGTGTCTATCTGACGGAGTTTGACGTTGCCCTGATGAAGGAACGAGGTGTGGGAGTGTCACACTGCCCTAACTCCAACCTGTCGTAAGTCCAAAAATTGATATCCCTGCTTACAAACATTTTCCCATACACAGGGTATTGCGCGAGACTACCAGAAATGACATTTAGCTGATTGCCCACAAAGTAAAAGATTGTACCACCCTCAGTTAATGTCTTTATAACATAAAAGTATTTTATAAAACGACATGAACAACAATACATGTTCTTTTTTCTATCCTGCAGACTCCGCAGTGGAATGATGGACGCTAGGGCACGGCTCGACAGAGGACTGAAAGTTGGTTTGGGGACAGGTGAGTAGCTGTGAATGCTGATACGAAAGAATTCCTCACCATTTACTTCACAGCCCTATTATAAACTATCTACTAGTATGTTTGCTAGTACAATGTAACAGAGATGAATGCCACCCTAACTTGTGATCATACACACAAATGCGAGGGAAGGATTTTAAGTTGCTAACGGTCTGATCTACAGATGTGTCTGGTGGGTGCCACCCCTCCATGCTGGACGCCATCCGCCTTGCCATCCACACGTCCAACGCCATCAGCATCCAGCGGCCGCCCGACTACAGACCCATCTCCTACCAGGATGCGTTCCGCATGGCCACGCTAGGGGGCGCTGAAGGTAAGGTCAATACCTCCAATTTTCGTGAAACAATTTTTCGTACGAATCCTCACTCAAATTTTGTATCTTAATCACACATATGCGAGGTTTAATGGATAGTCTCCTACTTTAATCCGTTGATGGATATTCTGAATGGATAGATGTTAATGCCGTTGCTTTCGTTAAGTATTGGCCCTGGACGATACCATCGGGAACTTTGAAGAGGGGAAGGACTTTGATGCTCTTCTGATTGACATGGAGAGCCCTTCCAGCCGTGTGGACACCTTCGACTTCCATTCTATCGAGGTAAATGGTCGTATGTTTTCTAAAACACCAGGATACCAAAACGCACGACAATCCGTCAACCGAATCCTCCCTCGAAGATTTTTTTCAAGAAACGCTCCTGCGGTTTCAGAACAAGCCGCTAGGGGGTTTAAATGTCCCTTCTTTCTGAGCAAAAGAGCTATCTACCATCCAGAATGCTTGACCCTAGCATGTCCAGATCTTGACATATAAAAACCAGTTCTACTGCAGTACCATAACAAGCCGCCAGCCCCCCCCCCCCAATGTAAGCTTTTCTAGGTCTCATTAACACCTACCAAGTTTCATGACACAACGCTTCTTGAGTTATCGTGCTAAACCATGTATTAAATGTTACTTACAGTTTTTTTTTTAATTTTCCCATCAGGATCTTGTACAGCAGTTCCTGTTCATGGGTATGTGGCCCGTTTATTTTAATACATAATGAAAAATGGAACAGTCTCAAAATTGCACTCGGACTGTTCTAGTCTTATATGACTTTTCCTATTGATACTAGTTGAGGTACTGAGATTTTCGTCAAAATTTATTACATTGTCTAAAATCATGTACAGTTTGCGCCATCATAAAATACTGTAAAATAACATGTAACATGTAAAATAAGAACTACGTACTATGCAAGAATTTTACAATCAGCCCTCTGTGTTATATGTTAACCACAATGAAAACTAATTTCACTCTATCTTCCATACTTTGAATACCGCCTCTTACCGTGTAAATAATGTAATGATCATGATTTATTAATTTCTATTGCAGGTGATGACAGGAACATCCAGGAAATCTATGTCTGTGGGCAGAAGGTCGCTGAGCATGGGAAGTAGGGTCAAGGTTCACGTCACAAAAATTGGAAGGAATTTTGATGACGTCAAACACTGCGATTTCCCAACTATTCACAAACTGCAAATTCATCATATGTTGATGAAAGTTACTCTCATGACAACAGATGTAAATTTCCTCGATTTGTGAAGTAAGGGAACAATTAATAAGAAGTTAGCTGGATCTTCATTGGCTCAAGTTGATAACTGTCTTGCACATTAATATTTTACCCAACCCAACCTATTGCTGATATTCCAGATATCTCTAACTTGTGAATAACACATAAGGCCTATTCAACAAGCACCGGGGCATCATGACAAGGGTTTTTTCAAGTGATCATGAGTCAGCACCAACCAATGACAGTCCGCCGGTTTGAACATTAGACTGTTGACAGTTCCGATCACAAGACACAAACGCCCCTGACTGAGCTAGCATTAATGACTGTACCAGTCTAGACATGCTTGCATGGGATAAAGATCAGCTGTCTACATATATTTTGACATCATCCAAGTACTGGCACTTGTTTCGCCGGGTCCTATTAATTTTGTGAGGTCCTCCTATGCATGCATTTGGTATGGGGAATTGATTTTTATCTAGACGCCCTTTCACCTAAAGCAGTGGTAAGCGCGCCACTTGTCGTACCACCTGCCATACGAACGGCAAGCCTCGCAGTTCCTCGCTTGTACGTTGGCCGTTACCTTCTGGGCGACCATCTCTTTGGCGATATCCGCACCACCCCCTACAGCGCCAGTTACGAAGCTCATTCCTACATCTGTAAAATAATCGCCCGCGCTCATTTTCTCCTTCCCAATGACTTTGCCTGCCCCCCTATATATATATATATATATATATATATATATATATATA